AGGAAGCCTGTTTACCACAGGTTCCCAGTTTCCAGGATGTTGCAGATGACCTGAGCAGTGGCTGCTAGTGCAGGCTGAGTGAGTGCTGTATGACTGGGGCTCAGCACTGCCTGGAGCCAGCCTGGAAAGCACAGCAGCTGCTCTGGCGTGGCACGTGTGGAGCTGGGAAGCCCTGTGGGACTGGGCATGATGACATGGGAGGCAGCGAGCTGCAGGCAGGTTATTAACTCAGGCTCTGTTCTGCTAAACCCAGAAACTAAGCCACTCAAATGCCAAAAATCAACATTTGAGCTGTTGCTTCCTTTCAGAGGTTGAACTCTGGCAGGGCTTTTTGAAGATGTCTCTTTCTGAAGACCTTGTTCAGATATAGTGATATTTTCTAAGGGACAGTTCTGTAGCAGCAATTATGTTAACAGCACCATTCTTCCTTCTAGTAATAGATTTTATGCTTTACAATCCATATTCTGTACATCCTTCTGTTGTGTCTTGAGTTAAGCAGTGTCCTTAGCAGTAATTGCAACTGATTCAAACCTACTGCTTAAGGTGCAGCACATGCAAAATAGCATATGGCTCTGAATCCTGCTAAGATGATTGAAGAATGTGAGTTTTTGTTGACTTGAAGCAAAAAGAACTGAATGAGCTTGTGCTGGAGTATGGAGTTCAACATTCTACAACCTCCTGAAGGGAGGTTGTGGTGAAGAGGGATTTGGCCTCTTCTTCCAGGCAACGAGCAGGACACGGGGAAATGGCCACAAGTTGTATCAGAGGAGGTTTAGATTAGACATAAAGAACTATTTCAGAGTGATCGGGCACTGGAATGGCTGCCCAGGGAAGTGATGGAGTCGCCATCCCTGGCAGTGTTCAAGAGGTGTCTGGATGACGTGCTGCGTGATATGGTTTAGTGCTTGTGGTGGCAATGGTGATGAGGAGACGATTGGACTAGATGATCTTATAGGTCGTTTCCAACCTTGTGATTCTATGATTCTGTGATTTCCATTCAAATTCTAATACTAATTGCTTTTGAAAAATCGCATGAAGGCAGTAAGAGACAGACTTGGAGAAATACAGCAGAACACATGCATGGTGCCTTTGCAGGGCTGACTGTGGCATGCCCTTTGGTACTGAGAATCATAGAATTGCAAGGTGGGAAAAGAACCTACAAGATCATCTAGTGCAACCATTCTCCCATTACTGTCGCTATCACAAGCACTAAACCATGTCTCATAGCTCCTCATCCAGACACCTCTTGAACACTGCCGGGGACGGCGACTCCACCACCTCCCTGGGCAGCCATTCCAGTGTCTGACCACTGTCTGAGAGAAAAAGCTTTTTCTTATGTGTAACCTAAATCTCCTCTGGTACAACTTGTGGCCGTTTCCTCAGCTTCTGTTTATTGAGGTGGTTGCAGCTCCCCGGGCGCACTGATGGCAGGCTGATTGTATCCTCAACAATCTGGGACACCAGAATATCTCTGATTTCTGTTTCTGGGTAACTAAGAGCAATCCTGTGTTCTTTTGCAGGTCCTGCCTGCTCTGTTCTTTCAAACAACATTGTCATAAATATGAATACGTTCTGATTTCTTTCTAACAGTAGGACAGAATAGACGGCAGTGGAGTTATCTGTAGTGCCTCAGCCCTCGCTTTAATAAGCTCTGGGGTGAGACAAGACAGAAGCAAACCCAAAAGATAAGATGAGTTTCAGAAATAAATAATTGCTTGTAATCTGAGACCCCTCCGTGTTTACATGCTTGCTTACAAAGATTAGCGTATGATTTGTCTGACTAGGAACTACAATGTTAGTAAATGACAGCATGAATTTTGCTGACATTTACAACAAAAGCATTTCACAGATCCACTGTCTTCAGCACAGCTGTATAGTGCTGGGCTTACAGTGCTCATTTTTATGGCACTGAGAGTACTCTAGCATTTTCTTGGAGTTCAGCTTATCTCCACTTTAACACCATTTTTGTCAGTGACAAAACAAAACTTTTGATGGTGTAGCACTGATAATTTAATTGCTGGAAGCAAGAAAAACTATATAAAAAGTTGAGGAAATGCATTAATGGGTTCTTTACAACAGCTCATGGCAACAGCAGTCTTACTGAGACAGCTGACCAAACATTTAGGCATAAACATATGGTGATGTATGAAATTCTTGTAAATGTTGACAACACACACGTGCTCACATGGGTGTCCCTGCCCCTCCCCAGAGATCTACATGGTGGGATAGCTTGTTCATGTAGTCTAGCTGTTACCATAGATGATATTCTTTTCTTTTCCAGATGGAATTTATTAAATTGCACAGCTTTCTGCTGAGCTCCATTGATTAGTGTGTAGATGGCAAATAAAAATTCAGATTGATTTCATTATTTTTAAAGTAGTGTAATTCAGCTCTTCCATAGAAACTGACAGAAGAATGGAAGCACTTTTATTCCAGCATTTGGTACTTCTGCCAGTAAGCAACCATGTCAAGAATTCCATAGGTGAGTCTAAAAAAATTGCTATACATTTGAGTGTTATGTAGTAGATGCTGAAGTTTGTAGAGATTCAAAGCTTGTGGGACGTGGACACAATTACCTTGTAGTTCTTCATGAAGCACACACACACACCTACATATATACGGTTAACCTTCTGTATTTTCTTTCCTTTGATATTTTCCATAGTTTTATGTCTCATCTCATTTGTGGCTGGCTGTTTTATGTAGTATAAGTGCTGCTTGTCCTTCAGTAGCTGTCAGTGCTTCTACCCCTTTGGGGGAGGTTGAAATTCAAATAGGATCAATAGTACTCCATCAGAAGCTGGACACATCCAGGACAATTAAGACACCTCCTTTGCTAGGAGCAGGATATTTTAGTGTGCTCTTTCCTGTGTGTAAAAGCAATAGGCAAAGAACTTTCTGATTCATGGAATATTTTCTTTCACTCTAAATGGAAAGTGAATGTCATGATACCAAAATATCTTCCAAGCTCTATTAAAATTTTGGTCTTATTAATAGCAAAAATTTTGTTTTGAAATTGTGACGTATATAAAAAATCAGTACATTACAGCATGTCTTCATATTATGCAAAATTGGAATAACCCTGTCAAATATTCCGTTCTATTTTAATAGCCTTCTATCCCTAGTAAAACCTCCTGTATATATTTTTGACAGGCTCTGTTGATAAAGAATGTCCTTAAACATGTAAATTTAAACATGTCTAATGTAGCAGAATTTCTTCTTATTCTTCTGTATACATCCTACATCTTTCTGCAGTATCCTTTGCCGAGGACCTATAAGTGAATGTGGTTATTTATCTGTTTTACACTTGCAATTTAGCAAACCTGCAGCACGCCTGAAGTGTGTGGTATTTACCATGCCTTTAGCTGCTTGTCAGTATTTATAAAAATAATTTTATTTCAATGTTTTACAGAACCCAAAATGTTTTTTATGACTGTGTTAGTAGGGCATATCATCTGTGATTTAGTTACAAGAAAATATTTTCCTATGTACCTTTTTTTCTCATATAGCTAGCCTATCCCATTTTATTTTTTAATATAGAAGTTTGAGGTTTTCACACTTCTGATGATTAACGTTTTGGTACTTAATAATTGAAGAATGAATGAATTGTGTTTTAACTGTGACAATAAACCGAACCTATTACAAAACCAAGGCTGAAGACCAAGTGCTCCTAGCCTCCAGAGACAGTGCAGTCTTAGACAACATACATCGTGTTGTTCTTACAGCATTAATGGAATGGTTCCAAGTCTTTCAGGAATGATGGGGCACCTTTTAAATACTGCTTGAGTTCCAGCAACTCAGTCGCTCATTGTGCTTACCCAGTTGTTGCCTCTGAACTTCAAAGCAATAACTTATTATCTACTTTCTTGACAACCTGTTGTGATTTTGCAATAAATCAGATGAATCAGACTGCTGGTTAGTCTTAAAAATCAAGGAGGGTCTCCTGCTCTGTATCTCTTACTTTGCAATATAGACTCACCACTGTTACCAGTAAGAAATGATAGATTGATATCACTGAAAGGAGATAAAAGTGCTGTTAAAATTGGGCATGTATTTTTAAATAAATCCTTTTCACATGAAACTGCATGTTTGTATAAGAAAAACTCAGCAGGAGCGTGAGGGGAATCAGAAAATTATTCTACATGTGATAGGACCAAAGTGATAGTTTTAACCTTGAAGAAGGGAGATACAGGTTAGATGTTAGGGGAAAATTCTTTATTCAGAGGGTGATAAGCACTGGGACTGCTTGCCTGGCCTGGATGGGGCCCTGGACAGCCTGATTGTGGGTGACAACCCTGCCCATGGAAGGGGACTGGCAGGGACCATAAAGATCACCCAGTTCCATTCTGTGCTTCTATGATTCTAAAAAGGACCTGGTTTTATGATAATAGAAATTTCTGAGAGTCTGAAACACAAACAATACTGCCTTTGTAGTTTATCTAACACGAATTTCACATGTGTTAAAGTATAAAAGATAGAAATCTTTTCTGCAGATGTGATCCAGTGCTTTAAAGATGGGCTAGCAAATCTCTGCTGGAGCTTTGCATTCCAGTGGTGCATACAGCTCTGTGAGAGCTGTTGGCCTGCTGCTATCCTGACTGCTGTCATATGCAGTCTCTGTTTTGTGTGCTGGGGTTTAAGGAAGTGCCAGTTGATAGATCAGTCTCTTTGAGGCGGCAGTGTAAAAAGAAATTTACTTTTCTGGGATGTGTTTGCTTTGCTTCCTTAGTAAAAAGAATAAAACTTTAAAAATTCTATTAGAAAACAGCCATTCTGGACAAGAATTTCTGTTCTAAAGTAGAGAATAGTGTTCATGATTGTAGCAGTTTGTAATGACTTCAGGGTTTGGTAATTTTCTCAACTCTTAGCACCTCATTTAGACTGCACTTCTCTGAATGGTAGCGTGTACATATTAAGGAAAATAGAAGTACTCAAGTGACAACTTCGCTGTGATTGCAAGTTATCATTAATGTAATCATTAATGTAAACTGTATCTGTTCCAGCTTCTTCCATCCTGAAGAGAGAGAAGCGGAAGAGAACAAAAAATGTCCATTTTAACTGTGTCACTGTGTATTACTTCACAAGAAGGCAAGGCTTCACCAGCGTTCCCAGCCAAGGGGGAAGCACGCTGGGAATGTCCACGCGCCACAACAGTGTGCGCCAGTACACGCTTGGAGAGTTTGCGATGGAGCAGGAGAGGCTTCACCGGGAGATGCTGCGAGAGCACCTGAGAGAAGAAAAACTCAATTCTCTAAAATTAAAGGTAAAACTCATTAACTTTGTGCTTTGCCTTATGTATTCTCATGAGCAGAGTCAGAGTTGTATGGGCCCAGTGTGCATCTTTTAAACAAAACTGCTTTCAGCTCTAATTTCAGTGAGAGAAATTACATTCTTTATTTTATTTTTGCTGAAGATACATATTTTTTGATATTATGAAGCACTGTTTTAGCTCTTGCTAATGTGCTTTAAAGTGCTTTACAGGGATGTGGTTGCTTACTTGTTTTCTTACAGAGAAGGTGATAAAGGTGGAGAGAACACTGGAACTTAGTCTGAAGTTAGACTCTGGAACTGCCTCTGAGCCCTGGCAGAGTGCCCTATTTAGACAAAGGAATGATAACATCTTAAGTACAGAAAGCAAAACACCTTATTTTCTTTGCCAGCTTGACTATATTTGGCAGAAAGTAGGGAACAGCAATACAGAAAATGTTTTTAGTGTACCAATTTATGCAATCATTCGTCTTTAGTATTTCACCAAAAGTTGTCTGGTAAGGAATAAAAATCAGACAAATTAACTTGCTTTATCAATTCAGCTTGATGGTAGTTTTGAAGCTGTCCTTTTAATTTAGTAGAGGAAGGAAACTGTATTTGAGAAGAGACGGGAATTCCATTTTTTTGAAGCGTCCCTTCTGTGTCTTTCAATTTGCTCGCAAAATCTCAGGTTTTGTTATTTTGTTTAGTGAATGAAAAACTTCTGGTATGATGGCATATGTTACCTCAGGTGTTTTCAGGTGAATTCTGTAATTAAAGGTGAACAAAGTTGAACTGTGGCTGAACTGCTGGGCTCCACAGCTCCTATTTCTTGTGCTTTGACAGATACGACTATGTAGGTGCAAAGGAAAATAACACCCACAAATCTCTGCCTTTTTCCACTAGAATGAATGGTGTTTATAACTGTCTGTCTGAATACCTGAAGCAGTGCATATGACCCTTACTGCTACAATTATTTTTTATTCAGTCTCCTATTGTTTTAATTTGAATAGAAAAACAGATTCTTATATAATTGATAATAATTGAATGTTTTATGAAAAAAGCCTCACAAACATAAAACCACGCGCGACAGAGGCAAATAAAAGACGGACATTTTGACAGGCTGGAAAAAAAAAGGCTGGAGTTAATGATTTATTGCTATTTAGAGATTATAGCTCTAGACGTCACAGGATCTTCAGAGCATCAGGTGGGAAGTGAGCTGTGTCTCTGAGTAGATCCCTTGGCTGACTTCCAGGAGGAACTGTTTTGCTGTTCACTTGGTTTCTAAATAAATGCAGAAAGGAAAGGCTGTAGATTTCTAAGGTGATCAATCAGTGGTTGGGTATAAAGTACTGCATATCTGCACAGAAAAATGAAGAAAATAAGAAACTGAAGGAAGGCAAAGTTGTTCTGATTGATTAGATTGATTGAAGGACTGATGAGAATGATTGTGCAAACAGAAAGTATTTTCTGTGGTTCTGTTCTTAAATTTCAGCTTCCCTGATTAATTTTTCCCATTGGATTAAAATATGCAGGGTAGAACACACTGTCTTTTGTACAACTTGTTTAAAGAAAGAAAAAAGAAATATGAATATTTTGGAATTGTGTGTTTGTAATGTTAGGTACTGTTCATTATTTTTACTTGCTAAAAGTGAGGAGCCAAGAAATTTCAGTTGATTAAAAGCAGATGATAAAGACTACAGTCATCTTGAAATCACTATAGTCATGTAAAGCAGCTCTTTGATGTAAGCACTGCTGACAGTGGCATAAACACTGTTAGCAGCCGAGTGTGAAAGTTTTAATGGCAATCTGAGCATAAAAGCCATCTTGTTGAGATGAAAGGTACAAGGTAGGCTTTACTTTAAATGCACTGTCATTTGAGAAACGGTATGAGTTAACACAACAGGTTAGCTACAGTACTCTTTACTGCTTATTTATAAAGTCTCTTCAGATTCAGGTATTTTTAAATGATTTGCACGACCCCGAGTGATGTTAAAGCCCCTGAGTCAGCAGACCAATGGATAAATCAGCACAGATTGTACTTACTTTGAAAACAAGACAAATGCAAGTGGAAAAGGATGTGGGTTTGTCTTTTGTAAATAATGTTCTAGTCCTATTTCCATCTGTCAGGTGTTAGGGAATGTGCCTGAGAAGTATCACTGAGGAATGGTAAAATGTTAGGTAGTTGCTATGAGAAATCTGCTATTTTGCGATTTTCTATAAGCTAGGTAATCTTATGAAACCTAAATGTGATGATGGTGCATGTTTTCACATGCATATATGCTTAACAATTTCAAAGAAAGGAAACTCGCAGTACATTAACTGCATTAGATGAATATGTGACTTAACTGAATTCATGCAAGCTGGTCATGAAATTATCAATAATTGGTAAATTTGTTTTAGTATTAAGGCAGAATATTCAGTTTTCAGTTTTCCAGTTCTGTCTAGGAGCTTGCAGAAATCTTTAGCTTACTCGATTCATGTAGCTGGACAGTACAAATGGAGGCCAGTAGTGGTATGATATGAAATTATAACAGTTCAATTTTTCTACAGTGAACTGTAGGAGAAACTAAAAATCTATTATCCGTGTTGGTTTCTTTTGTGTAAAACGTAAAAGAGAACTTCCAGCTCGGACAGGCAAAGGTATCCAACCCAAATTTGTTACCTTTTACGAAGTTGAAGGGATTTTCATGCAAACTCTTCATGTGTTCATCAGCTATAGCCTGTTGTTATGAATTAACCTTTAGCTTTATGAGGAAAATGTTACCCATCTGCATATGTTCGGATGTGTTACAACAACAAGAAAACACAATGCTGTCCTGAGGTTTTGAATAGAAAAATATATTTGATGGTTCTTAATAATCTTCCATCTTAACCAGTTAATTGTTTGAGAAATGTTCAGAGCTTTCAGTTTCATTAATTCATTTGTTCTTTGCGTCACAAAATGGAGAAAAAAAATCAGAAAATACAAGGGAGTCATCCAGCAAGGGAGTGAAAAGGAGCTGAGGTTCTTTGAAATTACAGTTTGCTGTCTAATCTCACTTGATGCCTGTGACTTTGCAGTCCACAGGACGCCTACAGCACCTGACTAGAATTCACTCCTTAATGCTCAATCACTACTTAGCAAAGCTATAAGCTATTAAGCTTTGCAGGAAGGGGAGAAATATGCGACAGGCTGGGCATGGTTGTGTAGGTGCCTTTTGTAAGCTGAGCGGTTAAAGTATTTACCTCATCAGTAAGAGCTGATGATCATGACAAAAATAATTACCAAAGCAGGAATTAGAAGTCTTCCATAGTTTCAAATGCAAATCATGACAAACTATTAAATAACAGTGATCTGCTTAAGGACTTGTTTGAACTGTGTATATCAGAAAATGGAGAAATTAGAAGTAAGTCATTTTTCTATTAAATGCAAAAAGAAGACCAAAGCAGCATAATAAAAGCTATTTAGTAGTATTGAGGTAACAGAAAATGAAGAATAAAAATGATTAAGGCTACCATCTGGATGTTCAGCCTGAGTTGCTTGTACTGAGGGAAATTGCCCCCCACCGCCATCAGATAACTGATTGAAGATGCTCTGAACTTTTCTATGCATTTACTTATCTCTCGCTGTAAAGAATACAGAAAAAGACTTTTAATGTTGCTTATTCTACCTTGCTGAACTAATATGTTGAAGTGCTTCATGTAGGGTACCTGGTCACTGTAAAACAAAGTGATTAATAGGAAATGGAGTGAGCAAACAACATAAAGGTAGTTTGAGAGGACATTTCAGATAAAGTAAGAGATGAATGTATATGCATGTAAAACTAGGGATAACAGACGCGGTAAGTAACATTAAAGATGAATTGAAATGAAAGCACTAAGTTCTGAAGGCTGCACTGACAGAAAAAGAGTAAGAATATACTGCAAAGAAACAATAATGCCTGTAAAGGTAGAACACTCCTGTGTTAAACAAATATGGTGCTGGATTACTGAGAAGGGATGATTGCTGATCTGGGAAGATTCTCCTTGTGTAACATGTACGTGTTAGTACACTGTATAAGCATTGCAGTCTGAATACTGAGGCTCCTCCCATCTGACAAGGATGAGTATCACCTGACAGTACAGGTTGGAAATAATGAGCATTTTCTTCTATGATTGTCTCATACAGTTAATATAAACACAAAACTGCAATTACAAAAGAAATAGGCCATCTGTAGGAGTTCACCATGGAGTAATTCAATTATGCTATAAAATGACAGAATCGAAAAGATTTTGTAATATAAATGGGAAATGAAAGATGCTAACACAGTTGAGAACCTAATAAAAGCAGCAAGGGTGGTAAAGGTGAGATTCAGGACTGCGTTGTTAGATAGAAGATGCATATATAGCTAGAAGATGTAATTGATTTGTTTCCTTACGTACAGCACTTTGTTAATTGTTCTGTATAACAGATGACAAAGAACGGTACAGTGGAATCTGAAGAGGCTAATACGCTGACACTGGATGACATTTCTGATGATGATATTGATCTGGACAACACTGAAGTGGATGAGTATTTCTTTCTACAACCCCTGCCAACAAAAAAGCGAAGGGCACTGCTGCGAGCCTCTGGAGTGAAGAAGATTGATGTGGAAGAAAAACATGAGCTGCGGGCCATCCGGCTGTCCAGAGAGGATTGTGGCTGTGACTGCCGTGTGTTTTGTGATCCAGAAACTTGCACTTGCAGTCTTGCAGGCATAAAGTGTCAGGTAAATGTCTACATTATTGTCATTATTTAACTAGCAAGGGAAGGGGCTGTAGGGGTGTGTGTGCATGCACTTTTCTGTTAAGGTGGTAAGTACTGAAAGATTATTAAGTGAGTGAATTATTAAACAGTAACTTGTGGATCTTAAACTAGTTTAAGGCTCGGATTTAAGAGCATGTAATGTGCAATACAATTTTTCTCCTTAAACATCTTTATTTTAAGATCAGTTTAGGCATATACACTGTTCAGTATTTTTGGTTTTGTTCATACATATTTTCCTCCTCGTGTTCCCCTTTGGCCTTTATCTAAACATGCAAATGGAAACAGAAGAATCAGTAGCCTGCAGATTTCACAAGGGTATGTAGCTTTTGTTTTAGAGACAATTCACATACTGTCCAAATGTGAATTATAGTCCAAACTCAGCGAGAAGTAGTAAGTCAAACTGCGGTACTGTCCCTTCTTTAACATGCATGATACTTAACATGCAAGCATGAAAAACTGCATGCAGGCAACAAAATATAGCAGGTAGTTTTTCTCTCTACAGATTTAATGGTATCGCCTATTGTACATATAGCTGTAAATGTCCCAAAATAGGAACTCCCAAAAGATGGTTTCTGCTAATTACCACAAGTAGCTGTTACGCAGCTGAGTTGGTTTCTTTCTAAATGCATTTTTTACATCATTTCTTAAATCCCTGCTAAATTTTCTCTGCTATTCTAAATAATACATTCCCTTTGCTGCTCCTGTTTTCATCATCTTCACGTTTTGGGAAGATGTACTAATTGTTTCAGATGGCTCTCTTCTGCATCACATTTGATGTTTAGGTATAGAGTAGATAAAAATTATAGACCTTAAGCTGTCTAATAGAACTATTTGATTTGTGGATTCAGTCACACTTTTATATACTTAAAATGGACACTATGAGACATATGGATATTTGACATGGCTTATTCTTAAAGTACTTCTCAATTGAATCCCACTTCTATTTTTAGGCTTTCTATGTTCTGTGATATAACCAGGTTTATGTTAAGTATCGTTAATCTGTATTCTCTTTTTCAAAAGGTGGATCGTATGTCTTTTCCATGCGGTTGCACTAAAGAAGGGTGTAGCAATACAGCAGGTAGAATTGAATTTAATCCTATCCGTGTACGGACTCACTTTTTGCACACAATAATGAAACTTGAATTGGAGAAAAATAGAGAACAGCAAATTCCATCACTAAATGGCTGCCACAGCGAGATAAGTGCACATACTAGTTCTATGAGTCCGGGACCCCATCCGGTCGAATATTCAATTGCAGAAAATTTTGAGATTGAAACTGAACCTCAGGCTGCAGTTATGCATTCTCAGTCAGCCGAGGACTTGGACTGCCCTGGGGAAGAGGAGGAAGAGGAAGATGGGAGTAGCTTTTGTAGTGGAGTTACTGATTCTAGCACTCAGAGTTTAGCCCCTAGTGAATCAGATGATGATGAAGAGGAAGAGGAAGATGAGGAAGATGATGAGGAAGAAAAAGCAGATGACTTTGTAGAAAGTATGAGCTCCCATGTTGACATGGTGCCTCTTCCTTCTGTCCTTTGCTACTCTGATGGAACTGCTGTGCATGAAAACCACTCTAAAAATGCCTCATACTATACTAACTCTTCAAATCTATATTACCAAATAGAGAACCATGTTGCTGGCACTGCTAACCAGATTGGTGAGACTTACTCAGAAAGGGATGCTGTCAAGAATGGCAGTCTTTCTCTGGTGCCTTACAGCATGACTTCAGAACAGTTTGTTGACTACACTCGGCAATCAGAGGAAACTTTTAGCAGCCCTCATTACCCTTCTGCAAACCCCTCAGTGATTGTCTGCTGCTCATCTTCTGAAGGTGATAGCAGTGCTCCGTGTAACAGTTTATACACTGAGCATAGGCCAAGTCACTCTCAAGTGGAATTTCACTCATTCTTGAAAGGTCCTTCTCAAGATGGATTTGTTTCAGCTTTGAATGGCGAGAGTGGTGTACAAGAGCACCCTGCCGAGAATTCACTAGTCCTCTCAGAAAAGAGTAGACTGCACGAAGAGTGCATCAAATCACCAGTGGTAGAAACAGTACCTGTTTAATATTAAAATTATTCTAAGACTGACTTCCTGTAATAAAATGCACTCAAATTGGATTTCCTAGAATGTTAACTTTTTTTTTTTAAGAGGTAGACAACACTTGGGCTATAGTCAATGTTCCAGACACACCTTCAAGCTACATTGCCAGAGGCACTGCACAGAATCAGTTCATGTAAAGATTAAAAAAAGCAAACCAACGTCAGACTGTCTTTGATAAAAGTAAAACACGTAAGTAAAAAACCACATCTAACATATTTCAAAGTAGCCTACCTGTCAAATATGTGAAACATGCCAAGCTATCTGAATCAAAGCTTCAACTTTTTGATTGTCGGGCCTGTGCAAGATTGTTAAAAATGATAGTTTGAAATAATCATGTTTAAAGTCCTGATTTTCAACGTATTTGAAAGAACATAACTTTAATGTAAAAGTAATTACTGTACAAAAAAAAGTTTTAATTGTTCTGTACTGTATGTATTTTATTTATAGTAGCTTAGTATTCATGTTTTGATAAAAATGAACAGCGTGTTCATTTGAACAGAAGATCCATAGTTAGTAAGAAAGAGCATGACCAATTTTCATCTGGAGTACCATGTATTTTTTAAATACCATTTCTGATAAATTTACTTAAAATGCATTTTTAGAGTACTATTTTCTCTTTCTTTTCACTGTTCTTGACCAACAGAAGAGTCAGAAAGGGGGGCATGTGCATCTTATAGAAAGGTGAAAGGTAGACAATCCTCCATCAAAATTAGTGGTATTTCTAGAACTAGCACCCCTTCCCAAAGAAAAACGATCTTGTATATAATGGCAAAGCAGTAACTTTAGCTTGCACTGCACCTTTTAGCCCAGCAAACATTCAGATACTTACTTATGCACTTTAGTGCCATTTTGCAGTGATGTTTCAACTGCAGAAACTGTGAACTATTTTGGAGAAATGCCATAGCTCCAGACTCTGAGGTATATGTAAGATCTTAAAGTCCATTGCAGCAAAACTAAGCCAGTATATCAATAAGTCAGTCAGTCAGTAAATATTTGAAAAACAAAAAACAACTAACAAGCAAAAGTCTTGATCACAGTTTAAATGAAGCATGGAAAGTAATGTGGAAGGGTCTAGATTTTCCTAACTATTTAGCAGTTTTTATGAAATACAAAGGATTTTGTGGACTGTAGACCGTCCCTTGCATTACTTGATGTAAACAAGGATCAGTATAGTCAATGACAAAACACAGCTACAGAGATTTTACATTGCTGAAGTCTGCACACAGAATAGCGCATACACCATATGGATTTCCATTACTTTGTACTCCAGTTATTCTAAAAATAAATGGAAATTAAAATGCCTGCTTTACCTTATGAGCAGACATTACTTTCTTCAAGAAAAGGAAGTGTACTAGAGCCTGCTTTTCTGTATGCTGGTAGTTCTCTGCAGACTTTGATTTCACAAGCCATTTTAATTTTGTTCTAATAATGAAATATTATCATACATCAAATATAGCTGCTGTGAAGACCTGTTTTGTTTGCCAAAATAAGGATCACCATCTTATTTTCATCTGTCAAATCTCCATAGTTAGCTGTAAGCATGTAAACAGACTATCAACTTTAGCTCTGTGACAGTGACTGGTTAGCAGCTCTTTACAACATCACATAAAGTGCTTCAGTAGAATAATTTCCAGATCTAAAACGTGCTTTTTAAAAAATAAACTTAATTATTTTAGTGAGATCTGGGCATCTCATTTACTGAGATCAGCATTTTCTGATTTTCTACGCTAAATTAGCAAAATATTTTTACTCCACATACTCACTGGAAAGTTTTTTTTTTTGTTTCCACAAGTCCTACACGTTTTATCTTTCTCAAATTGCATCAGAAAGTGCTAGTTCTCCTAAGAATGGATATTCCATATTTACAGCATACTCCATGGTCTGGGAAAGTGCAGTCATGTTGATCAACTGCCTCAGCAGCTCCTTAAGCCCTGCTGCTCTTAGTCACTCTAATCTATTTCTGTACAGGCTGAGTAGCCAGGTAAATGCGTGTGTTCTCCACTTCCAAAGAGCAAATACCCATCTCTAAAGAGAAAACCTTAGTTCATAAAAGGTTCTGCATGAAAAAATAAGAGCAGTGTTACTCTGTCCAGATATTCTACAGCAAATGTTACAAGTCTCCATATACAGGGATCTTGCACAAACAGCAGGCTTAAATTAGGCAGTCTCAACACCAGCATCAAAAGCACAAATCCCTTCCTGAGCTGGGAGAACAATTGTGAATCAGTAGCAGCATTTTAAGTTCAGAGTGTGTTGACTGCTGGAGCATCATGCATACTTTACCAGGGTATTACTCAGGGGAAAGTTAAATTAAATATTTTTGTTTCATTATTCACCCCTTACTGAGCAATAAGAGATTATTTTCTTGGCCCCTATGCTTCCAAATGAAAAATACCTTTAATAACATTAGCAAGCACAGTAAGCGATTAACTTTATAAAAGTTCCCTTTAACATTCTGAGACAATAGTTTCTTTGTATTTCTCTTGGCACTGGTGTCAGAGCAAAGGCCTCCTCTGTAAATTTCTGAGTACTTAGATGTATGTACCATACATTTTGATGCATGTGCTGTGGGGGCACGGGGTGAACATAGCTAAATTCTGAATAGTGTACAGCACAGGGTAACAAGGAGCTTAAAGACAGCATGCAGGCAGGAGTGAATATGCCAAGGAATTCTTGCTACAGTATTTGCCCTTGCTTAAAAGTAGCTAATTCCACAGCCCTGCCCAGAACAGATGCTCCAGTTTATAACTTCTGAGTTAGCTGTAGAAATCAGCTCAGAGCCAAGATTCCTACTCCTATCAGACTTGTTCATATTTTGCTTAGAAGACCAAAGAAATCTTCATAGAAGCAAAAATAAACTTAAATCATGAGCTGAAGAATGTTTCAGTCTTACATTCTGGGCTAACGTATGCATATGATGCATCTCATTTTCCAGTTAGTTAATACTGGTAAACAGTCCTATCATTTGGGGCAAACCTATTTCTATGTGCTAAAAGTATTATATTATTAAATGATAAATGGCAGTATTTGCTTCTGTATAGACATGGCTTATCATTTTTGGAAATGTTTACTTTACTGATAGCTGTATCAGCTTTTTCTCCTAACACATTTTGCTACTGATAAGCACTCGTAAGAAGCCAGATAATAAACGGGCAGATAATTTATGATTGTGTTAGGTAGCTCAGAAAAATACATAATAACAAAAGCAATTCCCCCTCCGTTCAAATCGGATTTTTACACAGAAAATTAATAGAACACCACATAAAACTGAATGCCTTTTTGCTCCTAATGTGAACTTTGCCCCTCTTGGAAAAAAAGCATTGTTAAAGTTTATAAAGCTTTAACAGATGTTAAAGTTGCCACTTTTCTGGCAAAAGTGCAGTATTTTTTTTTTTCCTAAGGGCTTTAATTCAATTCATACCCATTGAAACATCATTAAAAAAAAAAAAAAAAAAAAAAGTTGGTCAGTAAATTTTTCTGATCTTTTTTTTTCCTTTTAAGTTCTTTTTTTTTTTTATTTTAAATCAGCTATATACCATTTCAATACGAAAATTTTAACTTAGTGAAGTTTTAATGTTTTACAGTTACATAAATTGTTGCTAGTGAATCGTTTGAGTTGTCATTGCTGTCTTTTAAGGCCATTGATTACTGTCACCTGCTGTAAATGTGGTTCAGCCCAGCTCACCTCTTTGTTACGTGATGAGTTAACAGTGTTAACAATAGTATCTTGCCTTTTTATAAGTTGTACAGAAAATGCAGGTAATACTCATGATGTTGTTACTCACTGGATTGCTAATAAATCCAGAACCAGTTTCTAACCTTATCTGAGCACCGTATTTCAGTAAATGTGCTATTAAATCAACCATGTAGACATCTCCTGCCCCACAAACTACCTAGAGAATGTCTTCACTAAAGACAAATTGTTTCTTAAAAATTGAGAACATACATTCATATACAAAACATGGCATGTTTTTGAATGTTCTTAAATGTTCTTAATTCTTTGATAGAAATGTGAAATACCGGACAGAGTACCAGGCTAATACAGAGGAGACCTGGGTACCTTTGGCTTTGCCTTTGTTCTGCTCTGTTACTTGGAAGTGACTCTGACTCTGGTTTGCAAGGTACTTGGAGATGCTGTGATTAAAAATTTTCAAGACAACAGCCAGGATAACATTTTTCCTCCTTTTTTTTGGCATCATAAGTAAATTTCTGCAAACTAAGTCACTTTCCCAATAAATTCTAGTTTAGCTCAGAAGTACAGATTTCATCATCAATGTGAAACACAAAAAAAGCAAGGTCTTCTTTTATGGACAACATTAATAAGCAAACATAGAATGACAAATTCCACAGTGAAAAATGTGAAAATTAGAAAAAAAGCTTGATTTACCTGTTGAGCAGCAAGATTTTAGTTTGCCAATGACACCAGCTACAGCAGTCTTATTCCTCCGCTTATCTTCTTTTGCTAGTTGAGTTCTGTCAGTTGAAACTCCTTGCCAGGGCTACTCCTATGGCATAGTAGATACCCTCACTCTGAGCTAAAGCAAAAGAGACAGTTGGAGCCACAATACTGTTTTAAAGGCATTTGCTAAACAAGAAACTCCTGTGTTTTAACTCATGAGTTGTGTGAACTCAAGTGCTTTGTGCTAGTTTATTTTCTCGAGGCAATCAGGAAAAGGCACAGAAGAGAATGAAACCAGAAATCCTCTAGTGTTTAGGGGTGTTATGCTTTCCTACTAGGACTAAAGACTAATTCTGTCACCTACTTTACCACAGTCACAAAGCATTTGTTGTAAAATACTTAGAAAAACTAGAATTAACTCAGAGAATATATTCTGTAGAATTTATTTCTAAAATATTAAATCTGATCCCTATTTTTTTACAATAGCTGAAAGCTACTGTTATTTTCAAAACGCATGCACACAAAGAATTGAGTTCATTAATATAATCATTGGCATGAGAAATCTCAACATAATTCTTAATTTTTAATATTTCTTTTTAAAAGTATACCTTAATTTTGCTGTTCTCAGTAATCAGTATTTATGTACTAATAATTGTCCGTTTTCTCCAAGTGGCATGCAATCCAAAGTACAAACCTTATGAAGTGATAAATAAGTGGTGTTTAGCTGTAGAGATGTCCAAAGGAACAAATGTTCAAGTGCTTCGTAATTGCTTCCTTTTTGCTGTCTCTTCTTCCTCCTACATCAGAGGCAGCTTTTAATTTGGTTGATAATAAATATTTCAGAGTATAGTTCTTAAGAAAGAGAACAGCTGTAACAACCTTGAAAACTTTCTGCCATGCTAATGGCTGATATAAAAAATTTTACTTACAATAAGAACATCTGATTCATGAAATATCTCAACATTTTCCAGTCTTAGTCTTCTCATTTTTTTTCTTCCTTCCTTCCTGAATCTTAAGTGTCGGAAAAAGTTTGTTTAACAGTAAGGCTTTTCATTACAAACAACTTTATATAAGTGCAACACTAGTGTCCTCTGTGCTATCTGTCCTTTATCCTGGAAGAAGAGTTGATTTTATTTTTCACTTAACGTTTGCATGAAGACAAATTAGAACTGTGGTAAAAAAAAAATGTCATCTCCCTCACTGGCTCTGAATAAACAGTAATCAGGAATGGAACCCATAGAGTCTCTCTATAGGCTTTCCTTTGCTGCACCCACAAACAAACAGGAAGGAGACCTACCCCCATGGGCTGCAGACGTTGAAGGGGATCCTCTTATCTCCTGATGCCTGTAGATCCAGAGGAAGGGTGTCATGTTTCATATGGCACAGCCTAGTACAAGAGAAATATAGAAAGAAATAAAGAGAGATTATGGAAAGCAGAAAAAACATCTGCTAAGGAAAGAAAGGTTTTTTTTCAAACTACACTTGCAGTTTGTTTTTCTTAGTATAAACAATAAATGAAAAGTACCCTTTTACAAAAACCGAGTCACCTTTATAGCGGGGAAAAAAAAAGAGATGAGTACTGCTCTACAGTTGTATATTCTCTGTGGTTAGGAGGACATTCAGTACGCACAAGGTCTCACTGCCTGGAGAACCAAGTTCACTATCCTCCGTATTTATTCTCAGTTAAGAAGATGATAATCCTTCACCCAGGTTTAGCACAACTCCTTTTACTTATTAAATCGCTATCATTTGAATCTTCATTGTTACACTTCAGTTTTCTTGAGGTATTTTTATGAATTTTGAAAAGAACAGAAACGAGGTCAAATAAATTTGCCTTACATGTAGTTCATCTCTAACTGCCCATTTGCAATAAGCCATGAACCGGATTATAACTGAATTAGCTTTCCTATACAGGCAGGAAAAATGGTGGAAAGTACAAAGTAACACCACTGTTATACGACAAGGGTCAAGATAATACTTTGTCTTGAGGCATGGGCAGATATACCCTGGTGTGAGTGAGGGGAAGACAGAAAGGTCAATCTAGAGGAAAGGAGGTAAGAAGGTAAGAGATATACTGATAAGGACATTTTTATTTTTTTTTCTAAAGGGCAAAAGAGAACAAGATATAGGAGAAAAAAAAATACAGAAAATATGAAATGAAGATATCCCCAGAGCAAGGATGGGAAAGCATATGCCTGTGCACTACATGTTTGGTCATGTTAGCTCATAAAATGAATTCTGTTGCTTGAAATATCTTAAAACCATTATGAACTTCCTGCAAAGAAGAAATGTTGATTTGCAACAGCAGTTATATGTGGGCAAACATTAAATAACACTCATCCAAAAGCGCAGGGTAAAAACAAGAAGTTTTTACCTTGAAGCAATGCTACCTTGTCTTTTCTTTGCATACATTAACCGCAAAGTCATACTCAGTATCACTGAATTAACTCGCAGGCCTGTGCTCTACTATAACATCAGATAACAACAGACACTAAAAGCAAAAAAGAAATAGGTGTCCTTTGTATTAGCATTTTAGCTTGGGGGTTTTTAATGAGATTTAGTACATTATGGCAGCTAATTCTTCTAGACTTCTATACTTGAAACTTTTTTTAAAGGTGGATCTTTACTTAAAAATGAAATTTCAAGTTTGAATTGTAGGTGAAGTACCTTGCTGGGGTACTGGGGTAAAACAGCCACCCGTTTAGCAATTTCTGATAGGCATGCTGAGCATAGGGTTTTAGCTTCTTGAAAAGATTGCAACATTATGTGCACTGGCAGCTAGTTCTTTTAAAAAACAGAAGGCAGTGTGCTATTTTTCTATTAAAAAAAAAACAAAACAAAACAAAACCCAACACATTCTATTTCTAAAACAAATACCATCACATGAGCTTTCACATAACAATGCCCATATAAATGATGTTTAGCAATGGGGTCCTTCTTTTAATTGACTGATGTAGGCACTTCTATGGAAATATGTCTGAAGTGTAGTTTGTAAAACATGTTTTTAAAAGTGTTTGATGTAAAATAAGCACTTTTAACAGTGCAAAAATAGTCAAAATCTGTATGTTACAAGTTCTTTACTGAGAGCCTCAGCCTGTAGTAGTGTCTTAGTAAAGTCAATCTTTTAAGTTAAATTGCATTCTGGTGTAATAACTTTTTGCACATAACATTAATACAGATGTACTGGTTAATAACATAACTGGTTAATAACATGGCGGTTTATGTTATTTTGATTTTCCACCTACAGCTAGTAATTAAAATTTTGTTATATATATAATTACATTTTTATGTTTAAAGTGTTTTCTCTGTTTTAAAAAATATGATCTATGACAACCTACACTGTGTGTTCCAACCCTAGGTTTTGGGGTTTTTTGTTGTTTGTTGGTTTTTGGGGTTTTTTTGTTTGTTTTTTGGTTGTTTTTTTAAGAGATTCCTGTTTCTGCATATATAAAGATATATATATTTCCCATATAAATATAAAACTACTTTTGAAATTTTGGGAGTTTGGAGCAAGTGGTAAATAATACACCACAGCACAGATTCGAAAGTTGATAGTCTTTCAGACGTAATTTATTTCGGTAGGACTAAAACTGTGGTGTAATTGCAGCCATTTGTTTAAAATTTGTACATTACATCCAACTTCACGAAGTTTTGAGAAAAGTAATTATGTTAAGTAATCAACATTTTCCATTACAGATGATCTTGCATACTAAAATTATGTTGATCTCAACAGTAAGGCAACATACAGAAATGAACTGCTGCTTTTAAAGTGTTCGAAGAAGCAAAGGAAATTTCATCTTAAAATCTGTATATGGAAATAATTTAAAGCTTCATGAATTACACATTTCCTTAATTAGTTTCTTCTCTTTCTTAAATAAGTTGTAACATCAAAGATGCCAAAGGGTAATATAAGCTACAATAATATTCAACAGAACTTAATCTTGACCTTATGTTGTAATAATTTATTCAAATTAACTGTATTCTTCCGTATTTATATTTTCAGTATTTATTATGAATGATATGGAATTTGATGTATTTATTGTGGCTTATTACTGCAGTGTATATATTACAAAAATGAGCATTTTTAAGTCTTAACATTAGTTCTTTCTGTTAACTAGTGGCACTTGTATTGGCTGTATTTTTATTATATATTGTACAATATATATTGTCCATTTGTTTGCAATGAAGTAAAACAGGTTTCTACGTTATATCATGGCTGCCAGTGCATTGTGCATCTTCTTTCTGCTATGCAGTCACCAGACATTCCTCTCTTGCCTAGCAGTCGGAATTAGTGCTGCACCTCCTCCCCAGGGCTGTAAAGTCTCTCTAGAAGCTCTGAAATTTCTAGCATTTCTCCCATACCTTACAGCCTGATAGTGTAACAAGAAACTGTTTTAACTGTGGGGGCGTGTTTTGTATCTTATTTTATTTTTTAAACTTAGCATTTAAATGCTAAAGGAATCCACAGAAATGGTTTGTTTGGCATTTTTGTTTCCCTTCTGTGACACTAAAACACTTTGGTGAGTGGAATAAACTACATGATTTTTCTGCAGATACCACAATGAATTTAATCATTTGGTTAGAAGTTAATGAAAGAATAATTGTGAACAGTTGTTGGGGAAAAAAAAATGCAACAGCTCTCTCTGGTGGTCAATTTGCAGAAACATCAATGGCTAGAACAGCATTGTAGCCATACTAGCAAATTGCAGGACAACTGCTTTATTATTTTGAAAATTGCTGATCAATATTGCTTCATTATGAAAACTATTAACAATACAGCTCTGTGCCATCTTTTTATTCTGATACTTAAAATTGTGCTTTACATTTGTAAAAGGTAAGTTGATGGTAAGTGCAATGACAAATTGCGTACAGCTAAATTATTTGTATCTACAAAAATTGATAAAGATAAGTTGTTCTCTATATCATAAAAAAAAAAGTTCTCACAGGATTTTATGTAGCATTTGGTTTAAATTTATTAGGAGCTACATGGAAGAGAATAGATAAGTATCTATTACCAGACTGCTTTTGGCATTGCCACAAACTACGGTTAACAGTGCTCCAGGGCTTGCTAAGACATACCAGCATAAAAAAACCTCGGAAAACAACTTTCCAAACCCGTATTCTAATTTAAGACATAGGGATGTCATTTTAGAAACAGAAAGGCTTAACTCTAAGATTCAGCTGTAATATTAATAATTCTCTCACAGTTCTGTACTCACATTTACGTAGACTGGCAGATACTCTTGAGGGTATGCTGAGCTAGTGAAGTCCCAGTGCAGGTAATAGTGCTGTGTCCAGGCAGAGTCACAAAGAATCAGGTCGGCAGGGTCTCTTGTTGGTGGGAGAGCAGGAGCTACCTTGAGCCACCCGCCCTCAAAGCACATCTAGAATCTGCTTCATCCTGCCAGGAGTAAGCCTGAGTTGTCTGTGCCAGAAATCAAGCCTTCTTCAACAGCTGCAGCTCCTTTCCTATAACATAGCACAGTGAGATGGAGATTAACACTAGTTTTTCTGGTCCATTTAGTAGCCTACAAAGCCAGCTGATTGATGTACAAGTTTTTACATACTGCATATGTAACAACAGTACTTCATTTTCTTTCTCCAGGGGAAGAGCAAAACAGCACTACTGAAAGTATTTTAAATTAAAGCAAAGGCAGTAAATGAGCCAGAGAACTCCTTGTGAAAAACTGATTTTCAGTTTGCCATTTGTATGAGGACCATCATCTTGTTTTTCAGAACTGCTGATATTTGGCTCTTAAAAATGTAGTGCAGCATATTTCTAAAAAAAAATAAAAAATAAAAAATCATCAATTTAATAGCTTAGAAGAGAACAAACTATTATGCTTTAGATGTTTCAGTGTATACAGTGACCATGAAATTTGCAAGATAAATAAAGAGACCTGCTGAAGGAACAAAACTACATGTTTTCAAAAGGCAGTAGTGGTAGGTTATTTGTTTTAAATTTCTTGGTTAAAAAAAAAGGACTCTGGAACAAGAAGGACCTGATAGCAAGGGGAATGAAGCACGAGGGAAAGCACAACTGACATTAAGCTGTTCAAGGTATAGCGATACAGCACCCCAGACTGTATTCACTACAAATTAATTATTTTCCCATTTAAAGAGTGTTCTGCATTATGCAACAATTGTTTCTTGGTTTCTAACAATAAAATGGGAATTAGCTTGCATAAGCTTTTGTTCATATGGCTTAGTTTTATATGCACACTACTCAAAGCACTATGCAGGCAGAACACATTTTGATTTCCACATTTGTGGGTACCTGGTTTGAGCGCTACAAGCTGCGAATAATGGCAAACCAGAATTTGTGCACTAGATCCTCCACAAGGAATAATGGAAATCACCATGCAAAAATCACATCTATTTCTATTTCTTCAGGCATTTCCCCCAAAAATATTTGAAATATACACTGGAACTGCATATTACCTTTTAGAAGCAACACTGCATCTTCCTTCCCTTCCTTCATGTCAAAAGCACAGACCCTATCAGTCTTTGTATTGTTCCATTTTTTTCAAGTTCCTACTCCAAGTTGCTGCCAACAACAAAGACTGCTTCTGCTTTAACTCATACAGCTCAGATCTGGCAGGCCAGCAAACCCACAGAAACCAAGTTTTGTTCCACAGCCAGCAAAAACATTGCAAGTCCACACTTTAACCACAGGCCTTGAATAAGTCAATAGATTGCCTTGAGCTCTTTATTTCCAGTTACCTAGACAGGGAGGTAGTAACCATGATTCACCCTGATATTCCCTACATAGCAGTGACTACTTTTTGCCTAGAAATGGGAGGATGATTAAGAGGCAGCAGTGTCCAAGAGATGGGAGGTTAAACTGACTGTCAGGAGAAAGAAAAAGGTAGTGACAAACTTACATTCAGGAGTACTGCTTGATTCTCACCTCTCCCTGTATAGTTAGAAACAGTGTCTTAGTTTCAGCTGGGATGGAACTGTTTTCCTCAGAGTGTCTGGTATGATGTTGTTTTGGTTCTAAAAGAAAAACATTCTTGATAACACACCAATGTTTATAGTCACTGCTAAGCAGCGCTGTGCAGAGCCAAGGCAGTTCTCAGTCAAGAGCCCAAGGATCTGGGAGGGAACAAAATTAGGACAGCTGACTTAAACTGGACAAAGGGATATTTTGTATCATATGACATCAAATGGAAGAAGTGGAAGACATATACATATAAGTCTATGTATATATGTGTGTGTATATACACACACACACATATTTATGTGTGTATATATGTATATCATAATTACTATCTTTTTCCTTTTTTCTATCTTAGTAAATACTTTCATCTTAACCCACAAGTTCTGCTTTTTTCTTTCTTTTTTTTTTTTTTTTAATTCTCTCTCCCATCCCATGGGGAAGTGGGGGGAGTGAGCAAAAGACTGGTGCTGAGGCACCTGCTGGGTTAAATAACAGTCTAACAACATATTAGCAGCAGTTTGTATTGCTGCTTTTGAGTTGTGCTGAGTCATCTTATTACAGGCAGAGAATTCATCTGTTTAAAGAAGGGAGACTTCAAGTCACTCTTTTTTTGACCTGATATATTTCTACCTGTTAGACTGAAAGGATCCTTTCAAAGCCCAGTAAGTCCCAGTGGATTTCATTTTCTCAAGATTATGGCTACCCTGCCTCAATCAAGTAGGCACCCGTTGGTATCTTCCACAGTTAGTCGGCCTTATCTTCAAACAAAGCAGTAGAACTGAACTTTAAATAGAATATCAAATATCTGGGAACATAACACTTTAGGGCAGTATATTTGTTCTGAGGTCAAAATCCCTAGGAAATTCTCCACTCTTAGAAGCCTCTTTTGTGCACACTGACACAACACAGCATGAGAAATACGCCAAGGAGAAAGCACAGAAAATTTTCAAAAGCAACCAGCCATTTTAAGTATGATCTAATGAAGTGTAATAATGACTTTTAAATGAAGTGTCTGAAGAACAGATAAAATACATATCTAAAAGGTGAGTTCTGTTGTGTAAGTAATAAGGTGACATTGATGTGTCACATCAGCTACCTTCTGGTTTGGTCACAATACCAAATGCAGATACAAGTATTTCATATAAGTATACGTACAGATCAAATTAAAGTTTTAATTGTATTTGATGGCCCATGAAAACTTGTTTTTGGTACTGCCCTAAGCTGTAACACAATTGTGCAAAAAAAAAAAAAAAAAAAAAAAAAAAGATCTGCCATGCAAACCTAGATTAAAATGAGAAAAGACAAAGGAAACTACATTAGGAATGAAAAAAAAAAAAAAACGCCCAACAAAAATGAGAATACCAAGTGAACAAGGGTACTGTTTGAAGTGTCTATCTTTGAGAGTAATTTTTTGCAGTCACTGGCTTTAAGAATAAAGACCACTTTAGAAACATAAATCTTACTCATTAAACAACAGTTATTGCTTACCTACAGACATTTTTGTTCTTGAAACTCCTCTATCCTATGCAACAAATTGAGTTGAGAAAATACATTCCTACTTTTTATTTTGCAGACAGCTGAATTGCCACCTCCTAAGTTTCTGTAGTGTGAATATAGCGTTGACCTGATTCTAAACAACATTTAAATGCAATTGTCTGCCACAACACAAATCAACCAGAACCTCTATAATGTAAAACTGTATCATGAGGAATGGGGTTGGGCAGAAAAAAGACAGTTGCTTTCTAGGCAAGTTTACTTTCGTTAGTTGGATCCTGGAACAGCAATGTTTACTTTTAATCTATACGTGGAATGCTGCACAGTTTTAAATCCTTCTATGCTGATCCATTGCCCCCAGACAACAGAACAGCACCCAATCTAGACACTGATATTTCCAAAACAGCTCTTCACCAATTCTATTCAGATTTTTTTTTCTGCTTCTGGTTTCCTATTCTTTGATACTGCCTGATTTTTGAAAGGTCTTTTTTTTTCCCCTTTTAAAAAAAATGGTAATCTTGTTCTCTCAACCCCAAGGAGAAATTGAACATTTAAGCAGGACATGCTAAAGTTGTGCTTTCTACCTCTTATAACATAGAAAGTCTAGCTAACATTTACATAATGTTTACATTACTGTGTCCAGTTTTGGGCCCCTCACTGCAAGAAAGATATTGAGGCCCTGGAACGTGTTCAAAGGAGGGCAACAAAGCTGGTGGGGGGTCTGGAACACAGGCCATATGAGGAGAGGCTGAAGGAGCTGGGAATGTTCAGCCTGGAGAAGAGGAGGCTCAGGGGAGACCTCATTGCTCTCTATAACTTCCTGCAGGGAGGTTGTAGTGAGCTGGGGGTCGGCCTCTTCTCTCGTGTCATTAGTGATAGGACCAGGGGGAATGGCTTCAAGCTACGGCAGGGGAGATTCAGGCTGGACATGAGGAAGTATTACTTTTCAGAAAGGGTGGTCAGGCACTGGAATGGACTGCCCAGGGAGGTGGTGGAGTCACCGACCCTGGGGGTGTTCAAGGAAAGGCTGGATGTTGTGTTGAGGGACATGGTTTAGTAGGAGCTATTGGGAATAGGCGAACGGTTGGACTGGATGATCTCTTAGGTCTTTTCCAACCTTGGTGATTCTATGATTCCATGAAAATAATGAACAGAACCAACTATTGTAGACTCAACTTTAAAAATACATTTTTCAAAACCTTTGGAGATAATAGCTTAAAAGGGAAGATTTAATGCTAATAACACAGGAAATTGAATCCATTCACTTTTTTTTTTTTTTTTTTTTTTTTTAAATCACAATAGTAAATTAAGATTTGATATACTATTGTGCTGTTGAAACAACTGAAATTCACGTTTGAAGTTCCTGTTTGAAGAATTAAGGAGACACATCAAAAAGATTGTATGTTCCTTTCTTGGAATTTTTGATAACAAGTACAACCATAAATGAGATCCGTAAACAAGAAGTTCAAAGAACTGGCTATGGTTCTGACAATCCAGGTACTGAATTTGAGCTCCTAGAACTCAATCTGATATTTTTATCTTATATAAGGCCAATTCTCAAAATGTAGGAAGTAATGCTCTGAATTTCTTTCAGTTTCACATACTTCTCTGTTGTAATTGAATATAATTAAAGAAAACGCATACAGCAAAATATAAAGCACAGAAAAATCAGCACTACATACCATACTTACTTGAGAAAGATGTCGATGTAATAAATCACACCAATGAGAACATCTGCTTCTGACCCCTGAAAAAAGAAAGGCAAAGAAATTTAACTTCTCAGGAAAGATTGAAGGCCAGAGCTGAAAAAGGACAGAGATGATGTACAATAATTCATAAATGCATTATTTTATTTGATGTTTTACTAGTGCTTTGTTACTACTTTTTAAAAACATGTGATTTCAAAAATGTTGTAATTAATTTAAAAAAATCTGTATCTCCAAACACATTACAACAGATCTTTAATTGCTCTTATGAAATTGTACGATATCCATATGTACACACACACACATACACACACACACATTTGGAAGTGCAATGCTTAACATAGACACAATACTTGATTTCAGATCTTAACACGGAATAGAAGAAAAAATGTACTTGGTGCCTTCCACTGCTGTTTACAAATCTGCTAATTCCTTTTGCTCAAGAAATTAGGCATAGTTAAAAACAGTCATTAGTCAGCTGCTCAATAATCCGCAACTGTTTTCTGTTGTAAACCTTCAGGAGAAAAGCAATTTCTTCTTATGTTTCTTCAAACGTTGAACTCATTTTTCCAATATTCTGAAATTAAGCAAAAGCAGGCTTCCTTTCCCCCACTAGAAAACAATAACACCACACCATATCCATCCATTAACCAGATCCTACAGATAAATAAGCATTTCTCCTTAATGATATTTGTTATTTACCAGAAAAAAATCTGAAATGTATGTATTTTGTCCTACTTAATATTCCCTCCTTTATTATTAGTCTCAGCTCTATATTTGATCTAGCAGCCAAATACTTTTTTTCCCCTGCAGCAACCATGTTTTCCTTAATCTCCCTTGCCTTATCAGTGTAGTTCTTGAGGGAAATACTAAGTACTTCTGAAAATATTATATTAATAGGCCTGATCTTTTTGTTTCACTTTCTTATGTGCACATTTCTTGTGATTCACATCATTAAAGAGTTCATTATTAAAAAACAAGCTGGTTGCTATTAAACCTACTATTTTCTTCCACCTGAATACAGCTGTTCAATGCAATTCTTTTGATAAGCTGCAAAACCTAAGAACCTTTCTACCTTTGATGCTTCCCATATCTACTAAGTAACAACACTGGCACTTTCAGATTACATTTAAGTATTTCCCTCATATTTATTCTGCTGCTGCCTTACTACAAATTTATTATTTTAATTTTATAGAATTTTCCCCCACATCATAAAACATGCAAATTAAAGGTTACTTTAAAATCTTTGCAATTCAAATCAACCAGCTAAGCGTTCTCCAAATCAGAGTATAAAGTTTATTACCAAATAGTTTACCTTGTTAAAGTGCAATTTTTACGTGATCTTACATGCTTTAAGTTGGGGTGATCACTAATCTCACATTCATACCCTGAAGTAAACATTTCTAAGTAAGAGTAAATCTCAGTTCCTTCGAAGGACATTTTTGTACAGAGTTACTTTCACTAAAGAAAGCCTGAAATACAGTCAGAAAATGGGCATGATGGCAACTGCAATGAAGGCTAACAGAGTAGTGCTTAGCAAGTGTGCATCCATTAAAAGAACCAAAGAAATAAATATTATTAAAATAATCAGAGGAAGCCTATTTCGGAAGTCATACCTCTACATTATCTACTGAAGTACACTTTTGGATCCTTAAAGAATACACTATTTCATTAAAATTGCTAGCAAAGCAGTTTGGAAAGTCAACTTCTCACTGTTAAAACTGAAGTCAGTCCTTCAAAAAAAGAGGAAACATCAAAAAATAAATTTTAAAAAAATATCCATATTTAGGTGTTTGCACAGTAAATTATGTACAAATAATATTAGAAACATATTAGGTAAACACTGTATAAATCACTAAAAGCTGAGAAGAAAACACATTAGTAATTTAAAAGCAGTAACAAAAAGCTGAAAATGTCTAACAGTGTAACTGTCATGAATTTTAAACTTCATAACATCATTTAAAAAAGTACAGTTTTGGCTAAACAAAAGGAGATTAATATCAGAGTAGGCAGGTTTTCCATTTAAATAATTCCATATAAATAACATATTTCAGTGAGAATTATTTTTTCTTCTACAACAAAAGGGTTGCTTTGCTAGAGGCACAACAGCACAGTATGGTAGCCTCTTTGGTTCTTTTTCAAATGAGGGAGTTTAAAAAAAAAGTAGTGAGCAAAGTTTCACTTAGTGGAATAAACAACTTTTTAAAAAATTACATAAAGTCAACCAATTGAGCATGAACACACACACACACACACACACAGCCTTTTGGCTTTCAGATGGCATACGATACTTCCTTGTAACTCTACAAAGTAAACCAGTTGTCTTCAGAAATACTTACAATATGCAGTAAAGCAATATACACATGGTCCCCAAGGTGAAAAGGGACTACAGGATCTATGAATCAATGGTTAACACACAGTCTTATCATGCAAATATTGTAAACATTATCTTTAATTGGGACTTCAAACATTCTTTGGTGTAACAGACTCCTAGGGAATCTCTGACTACACATTTTATATCCAATTCACACAGTAAAGAAAAGGAAGAAAAATTTTGCATTTGAAGTATGCATTCCTTTAAAACACAGTATACATATATGGTCTCTGTTTAGAAATGGAACTGCTCTTTTAATAAAATGCTCCTGTCTATAGATAGCAAATCTTAATTGTTGTGGCCAAAGATCCACTTCTGGAAGGGGTCTGATGGGTTGCAGGAAACCAAACTGGGATGCTCTCCATTTCCTGTAAGGCACATATGTAGTGCTGCACTGTACAGAGTCTGATCCTAAAGTGGGTAAGAAAGAAGAGGGGAAAAAAAAAAAAAAAAAGGTAAACACTGAAAATGCTGTTTTCCTCCATACATCATTTTCTGCAAGTTCATTGTTGAAAAAAAAAAAAAAAAAAAAAAAAAAAAGAGTAGGTGCATGCTGTGCAGAAGGGGGCCAGGAAAAGAGTAGTATGCAAGTGCTAACTTGTTTTGCTAGTAAAAAGAATTATTTTAAAAGATCTAAGCATTTGAATTGACTTCCAATGCATGTCCAGACATACACAATAAAACACATCAACTGTTTTTGTAAGTGACTCTTCCAGTGAAATCATCAAGTTTTGAACAGGTAACCAAAAAGCTATAATTATCTAAATTTTCTTCCCAAAAAGGAACTTACTCCTTTTTTGGCTTCAAGTTCTGTTTTCTTGGGTTTTCTCTTTTATTAAAAACCATAAATTAACTCATCACTGATAAAAACGCCCATCTTAGACTGCATGTCTAAATACCTTTTGATGCTGCCATTGCTCTTCTCCAAAGGCAAAGATTTTCTGGCCTTTGTAGCTACATTCACGAAGCTGCACAGGTCCTTTAGAAGCATGCAGACAAAGCTCCTTCTGAATGTTATGACGAATTTCATGGTGTGCAGAATACTCAAAGTACTATTCAAATAATTTTTTAGAAGTTTAGTAAGTAAATATCAACGAGAGTATTAAATTAACTCTGACATTCCGATACACGAAACAATAGATTTCTTTTGTTATTCAACAGTTTGAAACTACAGAATCATTTCTTTGACTTTTAGCATACACATCTTAGAAGTGTTTCTTAAAAAATGCCTTTTTTAGTTCTGATGCAATAGAATACACTGAATAGTACTTAAATGTAGAATTAGTTAAATATATATACATATATATATATATATATATATATTTTTAGTGCATGTACACAATCATGCAAGATTTCATTGCATGCACTCCCAGAAATCTTAACTAATACATGATACAAAGGGAAGAGTAGAAATAGTTGTATGGATAAGTTTAATTTTGTCATTTAGTAACTAAAACAAGAAGTTTTATTCAATTTTCATTGCTACATTTTTATATATTCTCAGAGCAACCAAAACCCAATTTTGTCACATGGACAGTACTGATTGCCATTAGTTAACTTTTGCTGCTCGAAGTAAACAATAAATGCTAACAAAAGGATTCTCTGTGAGGTTGTCATTACAAAGAAAAGCATAATGTAAGGACATAATTTGTGGGTATTTTACTGTTATTTCCTGACAGAAGATTATTTTCAAGTCTCAGGTATCCTTGGCTATAGTTCAGGTCTAAACAGGCATTTAATTCTAACAGTTACAGACACAGCAGTCCTTTTATACCTCATATCCTGAACATCCTGGTCTCTTTCTTTAACCAGCAGGCTTTCTATCACTGTGTCTCACGACAACTGTTTTTTGGCTCCCTGTGTCAGCCTTTGCCATATCTGTCCTTTGACAGCCCACGCTCAGAGTTAGCACCCTGTTGCTTTCAACTGTCTGTCAAATTAGCCAGTTTCCATCCTCCCTCCTTGCCTTGGTAATCAATGCGAGCAACACTGAGGAACAGACACCTCCCTCCTAAGTTCCTACGCCCAGCGTCACTACCTGAAACAGGTACTATTAGGTACCTGCTTAGCCATTTAGCTCCCAAACATAACAGTTTAATCTGTTCATCTAAGTAAAGCTTTTTTAATTTATCTTTGAATCTTAGGGACTCTCTTTGAGCCCTGAAAATAGGACTTGGAAAATTGCTTTAGGAATTAATTTATCTTAGACATTGAAATGGACATGTTATCACCTCTAGAATATGTTACAAATGAAAAAAAGTTACGCAACTTTTATACAACTCTGAAAACTAGGTTCTCTGTTCCACTCCCCTCTCCTACCTCAAACATAGGCGGAAAGGAGAGGTAACATGAAAAACTGCAGCCTGCACTGCTAAAGTCTGGTAAAGAGCATAAAGCAACTGAATGTGAAGGATTAAGTAAGCAAATACCCACATCTCTTGTGTATTACTAGCACAACCTATATTAAAAGAATAAAAGCTGTTGCAGCATGGCAAAAGGAAAAACAACACACTTAAAAAGACAGTTTTAGCACAAACCAAGGTAAGTTAGAGAGAGGTGACAACAGAAGCATATAGCAGGTCTTTTAATATAACATCTTGATACAGTATTAATGACTGTGACCATTTGAAAAGGATAATATAACACCAGAACAGAATAAAAAAAAAATCAGTACTGTAAGGAGCTAACATAACAGGGTAGCGATTAAACTAGACAGTATTCCTTCTCCCACTAATATTGATTAGGAAAGCATCAGCTGACTAGGGTCAAGTGTCTGAGTTTCCGCAGTGTCATAAATGGTTGGCTTTTACAAGTCAAGTTCATTCCCCAAATAACCATAAAACAGCACTGTACATTTCTGGGGGAGGGAGATGCTAATTTTTAAATATTATAGTGCCTGAAGAATTCAGTACCGGATATCAATAAATGTCTGCAAGTCATACTGCAGGAGAAACAGGAGATCATTGCTCCCCCAAGAGCTAAGCAACAAAGAAAGCTCCTCTTGGACAAGTTCAGTCATGTAGTTTACTTGCACGAGCCAGTATAGAGTAGATCACTTTGACCTCACACTACGAGGCTGTGAGCGTGACAGGAAAGATGGCTCAGGTCGACCACTTGGTCTCCCACCACTGGCCAGATTCCCATCTTCCTTGACAGTGTGAGTCCTGCTGATAGAGACAGAAGCAATAGGAGGAAGCATAAGGAAAAGAAGAGTTAAGAAGAAAACACAAGAAAGTAGTAAAAGTAGGCTGAGAAGATTCTGCACAGGAACAAGAGACCATGCGAAGTGGTGCAATTACGTAAAAAATCTGAATCTGTATGTTGAACATAGGATGTTAGATGTGGGACACAAGAAGAGCAGTGAAAAAAACCTGCCTTGAACAAATATATATACACACATACACACACATATATATATACATTTGAATTCTTAAAAAACTATATAAAAAAAATGTAAATCTTGCATGCTAAATATGAGTCCATTCCACTACATCAAGTTAGAAGCTTTGCTATGGTAAACAGTTAATCATAAAACCCAGATATTTTACCTGATTTCCTCCAAGTCCATGACAAGAATACATAATCAATGGTTTGCCACCATGGTTGTTTTCACCAACATCCAGACACATGTGGTTACCTACATTTTTTAGCTAAAGAAAATTTGTTATCAGCAAAAAAGAAATACAAAAGCTCAGTGAGGATGAGAAAAAAATAAACTGCCTCACTTGTGTAGAAGCCTAATCTTTATCTTATTAATTAAAACTGTTCATTTATTTTTGCTTTCTACTTTGCTCAAATTTTAAAATCTTGTTCCCACAGAAGTATTTTTTTCTTCCTAAAAGTCTATTAACTTCATACAGTTGTCTACAGCCATGCACTGTGAATTACTCAACTACCATTCTCCATGGTGAATCTGATGATTCAGATTACAATTTGAAAACACACACAAAAATATTCAAAACTAGAGAACGGGGAAGTTTTATTTGTAAATACATGCTAAATATTCAGAATTGTTTAATACTTTGTTGGCTTTAGCGTTATGCAGTCTAAGAGGTTAATTGACAGAGAATATGGAGTGATCTTTAAAATAAATAATGTTCATCATAAACCTAATTCAGAGTAGTATACAATTGCCAGAGTACAGCCTTCCTTCCTAATGTGAATTAAAAATTCTCTCTGACTTTTCACTATATAAAGCTAAATTTATTTTGACAATTCAGGAAAACTCACCACCTGTTTAGAACTTGTGTAGAACTTCTGTGGCAGTCACTATTAAGTCATGGGCAGAACGTTGACTATATTATCAGGCTCCAAGATCCCTTTAAGCAAAGCTACTGTTGCTTAAGAAGAGTATTTGCTTAAGTTTCATATAATAACATCAGTAGAGCCATAAAATACTCAAATAGCAAGATATGCAGGTGAGACTCATCAATCATCAACAGTACTGATAGAAAACTCCACAGCAATTAACAATAGCTAAAATGTAAACACTATGGCTAAAGTAGCACAAAGGATTAGCTAATTTCTTGAATTCTAGAATACCAGAGAAAAGAATTAAAATTAAACTCACATATCCAGAAAACAAAGGATTTAGGTCTGGAACATATACTTCTGGATAAACATTATTCAGATACCAGGTAAAATTTTTACACTGCAAACGTTGCCTTAAGTCGAGTCGTTTTGAGATGTCTCCAAATGTTTTCTGTTACAGGAAGAGAAATTTATTGATATTATTAATATTTTTGTACATATAAATCTATAATATCCTGTTCTGTAGCATCAAAAAAGTAGATCTTTTTTAAAAAGTAACTGTGCTAGCACAGTTACTGCAACTTGTTTTTCGTAACACCACTGACATCCTGCCTGTAGCATCTCAGAGCACAAGAAAGAAAAAACCATTGTGACATGCAAAAAAACAAAAAAAAAAAAAAAAAAAAGAAGTACCCGTAGTTCATAGAGTGCTTTAACAGTGCTATAAAGTGGCAATGTAAAAACGACTAAAGACCATACTGACCACAGCCATAAGGCTAACCGCTGAGTATATCTCACTAAAGAGAGTGCTTAAGTGGATTAGTTCAATAACTAGCGTAATACTTGCAATCTCCCACACAAATACAGTATCTCCCACACAAAATCCAGTTGTGTTTTTCTGCTAAGCTTGCTTGGGAAATCTACTGCTATCACTGCTACAATGTTCATATAAAGGGTTAAAAAACATCTTCTAAGAGAAAAGTATAAAGTTCCAGCTGGTAAATTACTAAAGTTCCAGATCACTTATAAAAACAACCTTCCCCAGCAAAGCCTAAATTTAACTTAAGTTTCTAAATTGACAGATATAGGATTGATTTTTATTTTTTTTTTTTTCTTTTGAAAGGGAAGGTTGTAAGATTAATTAAACTGAACTATGTCTGCATTTTCACTAAAATGTCTACACTTCAAACAAACTTTATCAATAAATAACTTTTTGCTCACCAAAATTTTCAATGCAGCAAGTGTGATTTCTAAAACCACCACCATCACCACCTACTTGTTTCACAATTTTTGCTGCCTCTGTGTTTCTTCGGTAAAAAATTTCTTTATATTCATCCATCCAGACTTCTGCGAGGCGGACTTGATTACGTGTGATTACTTGAGTACCTTTTGGGAAAGTATGGGGACTCTTGCTGCGAAAGACATGGCCAACAACAGAGCAAGGCATGATCTCCAACTGTCCACCACATTGCCATACCTAACAATAACATTTTTTGTATAAGTGCAATGAAGTTATGATTAAGGAGATGGAAGAAAAAAAAAAAATTCAGCAACGCTACTGTTCTCTTAAATAGAACAAAACAACACTACCAGCAAGAGAGTATGTATCAGGAGCACTGTAGGTGAAATTCCTTATCAGGTAAACCCTGTAAAATGTACATTTCAGCTATCAACATTAATGACATTTAAATAAAAATAAATCACTTTAGTGAGCAAGTTTGTAGCTTATTTCATAGGTTATTAGTAATCAATTTGCCATGTCCTAGATGGCTGATTAAGCAGAGTAGTCAAGATACAATACTAATTTGTTCTCAAAAATCATGTAGACTGTTAGTGTAGAAACCAGTATTATGTAAGTAGCTAAACTTACTCTGAAAGACATTTCTATATTTTCACCTCCCCATATTTCCATTTCATCATCATAACTTCCAATGTGTTCAAAATACTTCTTTGATATTGAAAAGAGACCTCCAGCAAAAGTAGGTGTTCTGCAAAAAGAGAAGATTACTGTGGAAAAGAAGATTCAAACTACATTTAAGGTAAGTTTTCCAAATATAGATATGAAAGCTCAGTACTACTGTTCTGGAATGTTTCTTAGCATTTGTCAGTGCTTCACTCCATTAAAATATTTTCCTGGCACAGGTTATTAAATCTGCCCCCATTGAGTCTCACTCCACAGTTTTATTGTCACTCATTAACAAACAGATTATCAGATAGTATCAGTAAAAATAACATATTTTCCCTCTATGGAGGGAAAGTTACTACTCCTTTAGACCAGTAACATGTCTGAGGGCAAAGAATGCACTGTATTGCATGTTTTAAAATGCATAACCAGGCTCCTACAGAAAACATTACATAAAACATCTAAGATGCTAAGACTTGTGACTATACTCAATATGAGTAACTAATTCATTTACAAACAGCTTTTTATTAAGAAAAAAAAAATCAAAACCAACCAACCAACCAAACAACAACAACAAAAAAAAACACAAGAAAATTGAAGGATATTATTCAAGTTACATTTACCTGATTGGATAGGTTTCATCTTTTCTTCTTTTATTTTCATATTTAGGAAGAGACTCCCATCCAAATGACAAACTCCAGTCAAAATTTCCTCTATTGTGGTTATGCCCATAAGGAGATGGTTTACTAAATTCAAAAGTATTGAGATCTATAGATGCAATATCAGGGCTTACAACAGCAACAGAGTTCTCAGCTATTCTTGCCAACAATGGTTCTAACCAGCCGTAGAAGCATTCACCTATAGAAAAAATGGGAACAAGTACTGAATTTTCAATTTGACTATATGGTAGTATAATGGGAATAATTTAACATGACCATAGCAAGCCAGTACAGATTGTAAACAGCATTTAACTACGACATAAAATAGCAGTAGAAGAGCTAATACTTCATGTTCATAACTCGTAAAAAATCTGTAGCATTAAATCAAAGACAATCACTTACAGTGAGCATCCAGAAAGGTGAGGGTCTCTCCTGTTGCTACTGAAGCTCCCAACAACCGTGCAGTGATTAGACCTTTCCTTTCCTTTTGACGGACTACTTTAACAATCTGAAATTGCTTCACGTACTCATCAAGTTTATCATGCAAGTATTCTAGAAAGAGAAATTGTTTTCAGGATATTGAGTACATATGGCATGGCCTAAAATTTCACTTTACTAAACTAAGAGGACGAACAATTCATTCTAATTCCAGCAGTGACCTCAACATTAAAGCAGTGAACAAGTCCTGACTGTTGAATGTAATTTTTAGGGGCTGAGTTCTGTTGAGACTGAGGATGAAGGAAGAAGCAATTGGCAGACAACAGGGCTTGGAAAACTGAAAATTTAATTTTAAAAGACAAAAGACACTTGCTGGAACAACTGTTCAGCTGAATTGACAGCTTGACTATCAACTCAAAATCCATTCTCACAAATACATCAAGCAAATGCATCATGTACCTACTCAACAGTGTATTTTACTCCAGGTTTTCAGAGGCTACTGTATTTACTCTTGACAGAAGCTATATTAAAAAAAAAAAAAAAAAAAAAAAAAAGAAAAAACCAAAAAAAACCAAACACCACCACCATCAAAAAACCCCACAACTTAAACATGAAAAATTTGGGAAAGAATCTCACATCCTTCATAAAACATCACGCTCTGCCACCCTCTGCCTATCATCATGTCCAACCCCTGGTTCCACAAAGGAGTACCCAAACCCTACACCTGAGAGCTGTGTCCAAATGCTCCCTAAGTACCAGCAGCTCAGGCTGTGTCCACCACCCTCTGGTGTAGAACCTTTCCATCATATCCAGCATGACCCTCCCTATTCAGCTCTGTGCCATTCCCTCAGGCCCTGTCACTGCCAACATTGATCACAGCTCAGCACTGCTCCTTCACTCCCCTGTGAGAAGCTGCAGGCCACCATGAGGTCTCCCCTCTGCTCTGGGCTGAACAAACCCAGGAATCTCAGTCACCAGTGTAGCCCTCCTTTGCCTGCTAATACTTTTATGTCCTTCTTATGTTGAGGCACCCCAAACTGCATTCATTGCTCCAGGTGAGGCTGCACCAGACAAAGCAGAACAGGACAACCCTTCCCTCGCCCAGTGCTGGCCCTGACGCAGCCCCAGGTGTGGTTGGCCCCTCTGGCTGCCAGGGCACACTGCTGACTCAGATCCAACTTGCTGTTAACCAGATTCCCCAGATCCATTCCCAAAGGCCTGCTGTCCAGCCCCTCATCTCCCAGTCTGTACATAGAGCCAAGGCTTTCCCCACTGGGGAGCAGCATCCAGCACTTCCTTCTTCCTCATAAAAATGATGAGCACTGTGAAATCTGTGAAGGCAGTGTTCAAGAAGCATCTGGATGATGTGCTGCATGATATGGTTTAGTGCTAGTGGTGGCAATGGTGATGAGGAGATGGTTGAACTAGATGATCTTGTAGGTAATTTCCAACCTTGTGATTCTATGATTCTATGATCTGTCAAGACCTTGGTGCGAGGCCTCTCTACTCCCAGAGTGTCAACACTCCTCCCAATTTAACATCGTCCGCAGACTTACTTCAGATCTTTACTGGAATAATTGATGAAAACATTAAAGAGTACTGATTCAAAAATGTACTCCTGCAGAATCCCACTAGTGACAACTAGGGCAATTCTCAGACCATAGTCTCCCCTTTCCCAATACAGCCATGTTTTGATTGTCGTGAGAGATTCTCAGGGTCACACCACCATGGCTTTCTGATGCCACAAGCCTCCTCCCTGCCAACTACTATAAATATGGGGACTCTGCCAACAGAAAACCAGCTACCAACAGCCTTGGGTCTTGGTGAGCTTATTCTGGCACAATGGACAATTTAGATAGAATCCTCCTTCCCACCTCTGCATAGGAGGATAGAGCCTCCTCCACCAAAGAAGCTTAGGCTTCAAGGGAGCAGCAATGAACCTGAGCCAATGAATGTGGATCCACCTAAAGGCCATGTCAAGCCCATGGAGGTAGATCTACCTTCAGAAGTGAAGAACCAATGGAAGTCGATCCATCTCCATCAGGGCAGGACAAGTGCTATAACATCATGCTTGCTTGGAGACATTACCTCATCCACTGCCAGCACACCAGCCCTCAATTTCCATCTTGGTGCTGAAATATCACCATCCACTAGAGAGCCCCAGCATCAGATGCTGCTCCCTATCACCCTTCCTATCCTGCCTCCCATTCTCATCCTTGCCAAGGCCTCTCACTTCTTCTTTCCCAAGCTCTGAGGAAAAGGGAAAGACCAGGACTGGAATCCACTGAGCAGCTGCACTGCTCAGTGCAGGAATCCAGTAGATGGCCCTGAGCTCCCTGCAGCATCCAGGTGAGCCCTGAGGAAGAGGGCAGGACTGGGACTGATATCCAGGCAAGCCCTAAGGATGAGGGTAGGACTGGGACTGATGCCCTCTGAGCTGTTCTGAGACAACAGGGAGAGTCCAGCTGATGGCCTCAAGCTCCTTGCTGCCATCCAGGTGGCATTAGGGAAGTTCCACAGGCAGCTAGCTGTTCCTTTGAAAAAGCAGAGAACTTTGGTTTGGGTGGAAAAAAGGGCTGATGGACAGCATGAAACCTCATTCCAATTCCTTCATTAGGACCTTTATTCACGATTGGACAGTAAGCAATTTAAAAGGACGATACAAAAAAAATAATAAATTATTTAAAAAAAGCAAAACCAGTAAGTGCCTCCATTTTTGGTACTTTTGAGGCTGCACTGGGACTCCTGCGACCCCTCCTGCTCTCCCCAGTGCCAAACAAATTTGCCCTATGGGGTGAGAGCCCAGCTCAGGCCTCAGGCACACCCAGCAGCCCAGGACAGGCTGAGGGTTCGGCCTTTGCCCAGTGTTGGGCACAGAAGGCTGTGGGGGCTATAGAGCAGTAGAAGTGCCTCCACTTCTCACTCCAGGGCAGCACTGAAGGATGGGAGAAGCCTCAGCAGCCCCCAGCACCTGGTGGGTGGGGCAGGCATGGTGGTTGGCACAGGAGGATGCTGTCTGCTGTACCGAAAGACAGCTTCAATCACTCACGAGGAACTCTGTCATGGCCTCAGCCCAGCTCAGAGCTGTGGCCTCCACATCCCGAGTGGCCTCTGCAGCCACAGGAACCAACATGACCACCCAGATGAAGCTCCTAGCCCACGTATGGCTGCAGTTATTTTACTGCATCCATCGCTGTCTCCTGCATCTGCCAGTCCAGACCTCTGAGCTCTCCCAGGACAGGCCTTGCCGAAGCAGATGTTTACTCAACATTTCCTACACTGCCTCCCCCCAATTTGTTTGCAAAATAGCAGTGTGGGGGAGTACCAAAGAGAGTCATTTTCACACATACTTCGTAAAGGCTTTCTTTTTGATCTCTCCCAATTTTTCCACCTCTCACAGTAAATTGAAAGAAAGCAATCCCAGATTTCCAACAGAAAAACTTCGCCACAGCTAGGAACAGCTGCTGGATGCCAAATTAAGATGAGTTTCATTGCATTAAATCTTCATGAAAACTAAGAGCTATGACCCAAACAAGAGCATCTTCAGACAGAAACACAGCAGAGGTTCAAACCTCCCAAGCCTGATGCCACATTTACCACTGATACCACAGTTATCACTGAGCTCTTCAAAGGTTTTAAATTCCTTGACATAATCAGAATAGGTTTTAAAAGCCTCTCAGAAGAAAATTTCATACTTGACAATTCTCGCAAAGAAAAAGCGAGGGAGAAATATTTTGTATTTTAAAGGAAAACAAAAGGAACAAAAGTACTTGGAACATCATAAGGTGTTTAGTATGGCTGTAAGGAGATGATAGCCTCTATTATCCCATTCTATATATAATCCTAACACACTTTCAATAAAATAAATAATACGTTCAATGAAAAATGGAAAGACTTCTTACCATCAACACTGGCATCATCCACCAAAATAATTTCCTTTAGCAGTATGGCAGGAGAAGTGTACATCACGCTGTGAACAGTTCTGAGCAGAGTGGACCATGCTTCATTATGAAAAACTATTATAACACTTGTGGTTGGCAACGGTGGGCAACGCTTGAACTTTTGTTCAATGCATCTGCAGATTAGAAAGCATCAGATGTCAGAAAATGGACAAAAAGTTTTGATTCAACCTCTTAAGAGAAACCCTACTCTTCCCAGTATGAAGGTGTATAAATATGGACATTAAATCTTTCAGCTTCTCCAATTTCTGTCCAAGTTTTGGAGCACAAACATAGCACAAAAACAACTGGAAAAGCTGTAAGAAGTATTCTGTAAACATCTGGCAAATAAGAATTCCACCTGAACAACTGGCTCAACTCTAGTTCTCTCACACAACATTTGAGTATATTTCATGGAGCACCCAGGCCTTATTCAGACAAAAACACATTTTTCTATTAAGACCAGCAGATACTGAGCTGAAAAGTCAGACCATTACTATTGAAATCCAAAAATATGAGAAAAAGTATTTACTTGAAATTGAAGAAATGCGGTTTGAAATAGAAAAATAGAACAAATCAAATTCAGGACTTGACTTTTTCTTAGAAACACCACATAATGCTTAGAGCAATACAAAACATTCAAGTGAAACAACTTTAAACATAGAGGTTTTCAAGACTGATGTATTCAGAACTTTAAACCCAACTGCGAGTCAAGCTAACGAGACAATGTTTCTGTATTCACAAATTGCACAGTTACTGTTTATTGCCTGCCAACTCTAGAGGCTGGCATACTTCCCAAGGCAATTATCACATCTATTGCCAAAGCCCTAACAAAACATACAGGCCAAGTCTCACCAGACAGTTACACTCCCATAAAGATTATTGTGATCTGCACCACACATAAAGTGCTGGCCACCCTACCAGCACCAGCTCAGTAAGGACTGTCACTTCTGACATCAACAGATAAAGAATACCGAAGGAGATTTCTCAGAACCAAAATCCACTCTAACCATGAAGTGCTACTGTTTTGTTAACAAAATCATAATATGCCAGTGGTTTTATTAACACTTAATATTTTGTTTTAAATAAGAGTAGGGAATGGATTTTAAAACAGAAGGAAGTTTAAACCATATTTTCAGTTTTCTCCTAAGTAAAACACAGCAGCTTCCAGAAAGTCACTAAGAAAATGTAGCAGAAAACCTTATTTAAATATGTTTAACATGAAATGTGAACCTTTCTAAATATTCTTGGCTTCTGCACTCTGGAACATTATGTACTGTAAATGACCATGTATAACCCAGACATTTCCCTTTCTAAGCGATAATCTAATGCTAAACTCAAATCACAGCCTTCACACTTCTGTCAAGGTATTCAGCTAGCAGGACATACACATTTCCACATACTCAGGAGGTCGGGTGTCCGGTCCAAGATCCCGGTGTAACGAAATCCTATCACTTGCAAACGCATTGAAACAGTGTTTTTCTTCTCCACGCTCTTTTTCTTTCTGCTCTTCTGGATTTAGGTTGATGGTTTTAAATGCTTTACCAGAAGCTCCAGGAGCGTTAGGATCTTGAAGAGGTCGATCTAGAAAGGGTTTCAGTTCCATCGTAGTGTAGTGTCCTGGCAAACAGTGTCTGTCTCCAGGAACCTTAGTTTGCCTTACAGGTGCTTTTATCTGCATTTTTGGCTTTGCACCATTGACATTGTTCATAGCATTTAGCACAAGACCTAATACATGACTCTTCTTTCTGACAACTGGCTCAATCCCTCCTTCATCTCTAAAATCTTGGACACCAACTTCTCGTTGCAGTAAAAATAAAAATACTATAAAGACAAACACAATAATGCTAAATTTCCAAAGTTTCCAGTGAAAAAATAATTTCTTGAATATTTTAGGCATTATTTTCAAAGCCATTCTAGTTCTAAAAGTTTATCACAAAACAAAAGCTTCTCTGAATGATGTTCTTTAATACTATTTTACAGCATATCTTGAAAAGAAAATACCTGTAAATCAAAACAAAAAGTAATACGTTAGACAAACAGTACTTACAACAATGTAGAGCTATAAGAAATTACTGGGCAGGAATTAATTCAAACTCCCCAGCATCAAATATCACGTGTCCATGAATTAAATATAGGATTCACCTATCCGTAAAATACCCGAATGCACTTTCTCCATTTTTTTTTTTTTTTTTTTTGTCAACACACTTCAAACTGAAGAATCAGAAAGCAGGCTTTCCAGTAAGAACAAAGTATTATTTCTGTATAAAGGCAATACTTCCCATTAATTTTCTTCCAAATCTTAAAAATTAAGGAATTCTGAGGGAATTTTAGTTCAGTGGTGGGATAGAAGGAAAATTGATGCAATCAATATGGAAGTTCTAGGTAGAAAAACCAGCACTAAAAGTGAACTATAAAGATGTAAAGGGCTCCTCATAGAGATTTAAAATTGCCAGTATTTTAAAACCAATTTCCATTTCCAGGTCAGACTGAAGTGACCAGATTTTCAAGGGAGAAATTGTTAAGATTAATTTAGTTATGTATTGTACATGTTAAATGCAGACTTAATACCAGTAATGGGACATGGGGTAATTTAGGCTATGTATCAAGCAGTAAATCTATATATCTTTTGTACAGTATTCTCTGGCATGTTCTGCTGCAACTCATCAAAAGAATATGTTAAAGAGTTCCCCTCTTTCACCTACTAATTTTTATTTATTTATTTATTTTTACAGACGAGCGATTACTCAGTAGCTTTCAAAGACAAGGGAACTACGAAAAATAGTTAAGGACCAGCATTCGAGTGATCAGAATTAAATTCTCTCTGTAAAAATGGCTGTTTACAAGAAGGGGAGAAATAGCAATATCCTGAATTCAAAGCAAGGCTTCATTTTTGTACATGTTGCATCTAAGTGAACTGAGAAAAGAACTAAGCTGCAGCCAGCTAAAAGCCACACTTAATTTCTGCTTGCTAACTACTGACCAAAGAATTGCAAATATATATATATATATATAAATAAAATAAAATAAAATTGGAAAAACAACAACAAAAGGTGCAATAATATATACACACAAAGTTATAGAACTTCTAGAAAATTTTAAAAGTCACTTGATTTCCCTCAATAGTTTGTGAATATGGTCAGGTATCCAGTTGTTTTATATTATAGTTTATTTCAAAGCTAAAGTAATTTATTTTTAAGAAACTCATACATTGTATTTAACTACTACTAATCTTGTTGTAGCATCACTACGTAGATAATACAATATATAAAGAACACCCTTCACAATGCTCATAAATTTTCCAAGAAAGTTCATTTAAAAAATCCAATCCACTTCATCTTATATTATTTTCCCAATTTTATTTAGACCTGAAGATTTTGCACTGCAGCAGATGCCCATATAAAGCAAAACAAACAAAATAAAATCATTCTTTCTTTCCTGGGGAAAAGGAAAGAATCTTCACCTCTTTGTAGCCCTCCTCTGGGCACTCCAGTAGCCTTATGTCCCTATGTTGTGGCGCCCCATGATGCCAGTGCTCCAGGTGAGTCTGCACCAGGCAGAACAGGGCAGGACAATCCCTTCTCTTGACCAATCAGCAGTGCTGAGCCATTTCTCACTAACCCAGATCCAACTTGCTGTCAACCAGAACCCCCAGATCCCTCCCCCGCAGGGCGGCTTTCCAGCCCCTCATTCCCCTGTCTGTACATAAATCGAGGATCGCCTCATCCCAGGTGCAGAATCCAGCACTTACTCTTGTTAAGCAACACACAGTTGGCGACTGCCAGCCCTATAACCTGCCAAGATCTTTCTGTACCAAAGCCTCTGCACCTATGAGTGAGTCAACAGCTCCTCCTAATTTAGTACCATCTGCAAGCTTACTTAGTGTGCACTTGAGTTCTGCATCCAGATTACTTATAAAAACAAAACCAGCCCTAAAATGGTGCTTTACAGAACCCCGCTAGTGAATGGCCACCAACCTGATGTAATCCCATTTAATTCAGCCATTTGAGCCCGACCCAATTGTTCACTCATTGCATTACGTTACCTACTGTTCCTGTCTAGCCATATACTAGGCAATTTGTCCAGTAAGATACTGTGAGAAACAGCATCAAAATCTTTGATGAAATCCAAAAAGATGACATCAACTGGCTTCTCTTGGTCAGCTAGGTTATTGGCTATGATCAATAACTGTTGTCTTTTAAGTGTTTTCTCCTAAGGTGGCAGGAGAGTCTCTGCTCTGGTGCTTGAAGCACCTCCTCATTGACCTTGGTGCTTGCAGGACTGTTCTTCCCACATGTTTCTTACTCCTCTCACAGCTGCTGCAGAGCATTTTCTAGCCTTTCTTAAAAAATGAGCGCACCACCTGCTGCACCAATGGGTTCAGCTGTGACAGCGTTCAATAGTGAGACTGTGCTGGAGCTGGCTGAGACTGGCACAGGGCAGCTCTGTTCACAAAAAGCACCCATCAGTCCCTCTGCTACCAAAATCTTGCTACATAAACCCAATACAGAAAGTAAAACCCTAACACCATCAAAGAGACTGCAACCTGTAAAACCACTTCTGCTAAATCTGCCTGGGGTCAGCTTGAGCCTATAGCCTCTGCACCCTCTTAACCACAATTGCTTTCATAACCCTACACAGAAGTACATTTAATTACACTATTGTTTCTCAATGCACAAGCATGGCCAATATGAGTATATCTTAAAGCTTAGAATCAATAAACAATGTAAATATACTGTCTTCAAACAGGAAAATATAAACATCTTTTTTTACAGTTGAGGTACTTGATATCATAAGAGAAGTTTGGCAGTTTCCTTATTTCACAAGAAGCCATTTGGGCACAGTCAGTCAGGAGAACACTGGGGAGAGGGCAGTAGGTTGGTCTGCTTTCAAACACCACAGCTCTCAAATACTCTTTGTATAACTAACAAAAACCAACATTATCCAATCACCTCTCTGGGACTCTTCATGGCGGTAAAGATTAAACTCAGATGAGCATCCTGTTATGAGATACAACATGAAAAGGCAGGCAGAAGGTAATTCTACATAACGACATTGAATTTCACCAAAGTTTAACACTGAAGTAACGCTTCAATTTGAGACCTGAATTTTTATTCAAGTCAAAACACTTAAGATTCTCTTTTGATTTGATGATTTGGCCTAAGACTACTCAGAAAGGGTAGAAAAACAACAAACCATGGTTACACATCCGTTATTTGACTTAATAACACTTAGTTTCCATTAACTTAATAATTATGTTAAAAATGCATTTATCAGATTTCTGTTCTCTGCTTTCAGCATTTAAATCAATGCAACAACTATTATTTACACTAAGCTTGCTTCATCATTTTTTTGCCAGCTTTACGTATGCTATATGAAATTAGGCTTAGTTTCCCACAAAAAAAAAAAAAAAAAAAGTCTAGACAGTACCAGAGACATTTTACGTACATTGCTGCATATAATTCTGGGGTATTAAATCTTTGCTGCTGCCAGCTCTGCTATCAGCACAGTAACATGTTCTTCAAGAAAGATTTGATGTGCATAGATATGCTTTACCGAAAAACTTAGTCTAAATTACTGTTAATTTTCTTTGGGATTATTTCCTTCAGAAACTGAGCATATGCAAATCCTTAGAAAACTCGTGATCCACACAGCAAATCAGTCAAAATATCTGTGAAGAAAATAAACACAATCTAAAATTCATCAAGACTATTTCTTACGTCACCCATGTTTTGCACACATCTGTCTTTAAACAAGTCGTATAAGACTTAAGCAGACTAACGAGCAAACACAAATGGGCTTAGCAATTTATTCTGCCTTTGGTTTTCTTCATAATTATTATTTCTTTTTATCTGCGTGCACCATGATTTCTGTTTGAAGGCACATTTCTCTGTAGTGGAGCTGCGTGCCCTGCCTGTTCATGCATAACCAGTGCCATAATGCACAGGTGAAACACGTCTGCCCCCAGGAATGAGAAGGCAACTCCTGTAAAGGGGTTGTGCAAGGAGAGCAACACAACCTATCCTTTCAACAGGCACTCATACATTCCAGCAGCATGCACAGCAGCATGCTGTGCAGAGAAACAGTGCACGTGGTGTTTCAGAGGTGCTTTTCAGAAGAAAGAGTCAACTGATAACCTTGGGATAGTGTGCAGCTGGGGTGAATTGCACCAACACTTCTCCTTTGCCACAAATGCACGAACTCTGATACAGATAAATCCCGAGTGCAGTGTTACTGATGAAATACCTTGAAGGGACAGTGCTTAACAATAAGAAAAGGGCTCTCTGCCACACAGAATAGTATCAGTTCCTGGAACACAAACTATATTACACAAACAACTGTCACCAAAGCTGTATGTTTCCTAAGGTTTTTACCCAGAGTAATTTTGTAGTCAGCAATGCAATCTTCACTTGCCACAAGCATTACATACATTTTTATGGCGCAGCAGCATCTGTAAACACAGACCAGGCCACGGCTCTGTCCTTCAGGACATGCTGAAGAAATATGTGGCACAGTTCAATTCCTTGATGTAACTGGTAAGCAAAGTATAAGTTGCTTTTGTTTTGTTTTTAAAAGAAAAGAAGCAGAAAACTTATAAGCACTACAAGCGCCTTCTAAAAAGTGCCAAAAGGCAGCAGCCGCCCTACTCCACAGCACAGCACAGCACAGCAGGCAAGCCGAATGCACAGCAGCCTCTGTTACGTTCTGCCACCCACCAGCTCCGGTGTCACACCGCCTGCCAGCAGCTGGCCTCACAGGACAGCCTCTCTCCAGTACCCATGTGCACACAGCTCTGACTCTGGCAGCTCGCTCAGAACAACACTATTGGCAATCATTAAAAAAACCCAACTATATGTCACGGTAACCTAAATCATCAGAAGTTCTTGCGGAACAATCCAGTAAGAAGGCATTTCCTGGGGTTGGTGTTCACAACATACCTTTGCTTTTTAATAAAGTTGTTTAAAATCTACCTTTTTTTTTATCTGGATGTTAAACAGTGTTCTGATGATTTCTGAGAATGTTTCTTACAGAACTCGAAAAATGCTTTTAAAAGAATAGTAACAACATTAAGCCTTAAGAATGATTCCAGCCACATCATTTTTTCTCACTATTTAGCTTTACTTTTTATTTAACTCCCGTCACTCCAAAATCACAGTCTGGTTAAAACCTTGTCTATTTTATCCTTCCCCAACACCTTAATGCTCCCCTAACGAGGAAGCAGGCCTGCAAGGAGCAAACATTGATTAAACTCTGGAGGAAAACCCAGCTGACACTAACAACCAGCTACTCCCCCAGACCAGCATAAATCTGACAAGGGCACACAGTTACACCTGTTGGGTGTTGCTCTGCTAAGGAACTTTCCAGTGCTTTTTGTTTTCTTCACATGAATCCCACAGCAGATTGCACTAAAACATTAGCTATTGAAGTAAGCACTTCCACTACCCTGGAAATCAAAAATTTCCAACTAAAAAAAAAAATTAAAAAATAAAAATCACTCAATAAAATCTTACCTGCTTCCCAGAAGAACATGCACACACACATGATGAAGTCATGGCTAAAAAATGCCACATTTGAAGTGAAACATGCAAGTCTTGCTGAATTTGGAATATTAGGGCTCTCCATAAAAAATCAAGAGCAAAAGCACTTCAGAACATGGGGAAAAGCAAAAGAGCTGCTGAAGTACTGTACCCTGTACTACTGCTTATGATTTATTAGTATTTGACTTAAATAAAGGAACGATTCACAAAACAAAACACGTGTAAGTTAAGGATCAATGCTTCATCTGAAAAGGAGAAGCAGAATCTGGTCAGCACCTGCCTGTGCACTCACAGCATCAAGTACTTGCCCCCTGGCTCCACCAAGAATTTCCACTGGTTGCCCCCTAGACAGGGCTGTACCCAACAAGCTGGTGACCAACAAACCCCTGATGTTGCTCCTCTGGATGCATTCTTTGAGGATCAGCCAGGGGAAGTCTTGTTCTGCTTCTGAGTATGTTGTAAGAATACTGAGTGTCTTCATTTCCCAAGTGTCAGTTTTAGAAAGTCTAAGGACATAGATTATTCTAGCACTGACTGAAGTAATTCACCCCAGTGATTACTGCAGAAAAATCAGAAGCAGTAACCTGATGATAACACAATGGGTGAAAGAAATTCAAGCAGCAGCAGCAGCAATCCAGAACACCCAACTGTATTCCAACCTTGTAAGCAGTCTTCTTTGGGAATTTCTTCAAGATTAAAAAAATGACACTACAACTCCTTCCTTCTGTGTATTCTTCTAAGAACTCTTTCAGTATCAGCACTACCACTGCTTTTCTACAGCTGAGCACTGTATGGGATGGGCAGAGATAGAGGCTAATTCTGATAGTTCTCCATGACAATAAATGATGAATTAAAAGTACACGGTGACTATACATTAAAACAATATTTATAGCTTGTTTTTACAGTTTTAGAACTACAACAATGCTCTGAATTTGAGTTAAATTTAAATTTTAGTCAACGCTGTAGCTTCCCTTTTCTTCTTGCCAGTTTGGTTTGGGCTGTTGTTAAAAGCATTCTAAACTGCTCCTAAAAATGCCACGATGACAACTGAGCACCACAGCAGCTGTAAAGTGCTGTTATAACTTCATAGTATTGGTGTCTGATTTTTATTTAAGCACCAGAAAACAATCTCTGGATCATATCCAAGGGATTTTTTCCCCCCCCAATTGCAGTAATGTTTCTAAGATAAGAACAGCATCTAAGTATTAAGTGCAGGCCCTGAAGTCATAGTTTTACACTCTAATTTGCCTTAAAATTTGTTTAAACCAGAAGAATGAGGGGAAAAAAGAAAAGAAAAAAAAAAGTTTCCTCATGTTTTTGCTTTGTTTATTCTGAAACGCACTGAGCTTTATTAGGTCAGTTACTTTCAAACTGCAGGAAACTCTGAGGTGCCATCTCTTTGCTCTTGCCCTCACCTGACCAGTTCTGCATGTCACTGCTGAACAAACTTCCCTAACAAACAAAAGTAGTGGTTTGACTACAGGATGTTATTCCTAAGTAGCTGTAAGTAGTTCTGTGACACTGTTTCACTGTTTATAAGCAGAACTATAACCTACAGCACAAAGTAGTAGCAAAGCTAAGGAAATGCAGACAACTCTGGGGCAAGACTACACTTCACAAAATGTAGCACTTCGCAGTCCAGAAACTTGAAGCACTTTCCAATCTTACAGAAGATAAACACAGAAAAACTCAAGAGTGCTGGCAAGCAACTGAGCATCAGTTCATGCTACGACCGTGACTCCCTGCACTGCCAGAAATGGGGAGCCCTGCACATCATATAGCTCATTGAGCAGACAAGCAGCACACGTTTGTCCAAAGCACAGAGGAATTTCCTGGAGCAATGCAGTCGGTAACCAAGGGCCGCACCACAAAGGACGCTGCTATTTTGACAGCAGTCACAGTACCCAGCTGCCCCACCTAAAAACAGGGCAAGGTTAAACGGCCACACAGCCACAGGGCAGGGAGGGCTGCTCTGCTGCTCCCCACGGCATGACAGAAATAGCAGCAACCAACCTACCCTCCGCAACCAACTTAATTTCTACTTTACTGTTATAGATGCCTCAGGAAGGCGGCAGCAGATGACAAAGCGACCGGGCCTGCGGACAAACCCTGCTAGAAGCAGCGCAGTAAGCCACAGAGCGGCCGGGCTCAGCCCAGCAGCACAGCGCTGCCCGCGGGCGGGATCCAACGGGCAGAACGAGGGCACAAGATGTAACGATTTTTGAAACAGAAGGCTAACGCGTGAAACGCTCTGTGGTGAACGTGTAACACTCAAATTGCCAGTAAGGTATTTCTTGTTTGATCAGCAAAAACGTTTAATAAAGACTTCTCAGCATAAGCACGCTCACACAAAGCCTCGGCTTCGCTCGTTTCTATCTGTATCACAAGTTTTATTGCCAGCTCTCGGATACTGAGAAAACGAGCGAAAGCCACGCGTAACACGGAGCGCTGGGAAGAGGCAGCCCGGCCAGCACGCGCCCTCGCTCGGGGCAGGACGGAACGCAGCACGCGGAGCTGCACGACGCCCCGCTGGGACATCCCGCGGTCACCGCACCGCTGTGGGGCCCGGGCCGTGGCCGCCACCGCTGCCTCCAGCAGTCACCGCCCGGCCCCGGCCCGCGCAGCCCAGAACGCCGGCAGCCCCCCCGGCCCCGTCCCTCACGCCTGGCCCGCTCAGGGCCCCTCCCCGCCCGACCCATGGCGACACGAGGGGACCACGTACGCTTCAGGGGGCTCTCGGGGATGGGATCTCCCACCGGGCCCCGGCCGCGCGCCCGCCCCCAAACCGCCCACCCGAAGACAGCGGAGCCGCGCGAGCCCTGGTCACTCACCCGGTTCGGAGGGAGAAGCGGCTGCCGGCGGAGGGAAGCGCGGTGTTCGTCCCGGCCGGAGGCCGCCCACGGCGCACGGAGGCTGCGGCGGCGCCTTCCGCTCGGCGGCAGCCAGGTGCGAGCCGCCCCGCGCCTGCGCGCCGCCCCGCCCTCAGCCTCACCTGGCGGCCAGGTGCGCGAGGCGGCGGCGGGAAGCGCACGGATCTTCTCTTCAGCCGCTTCCGCGCGCCGCGCCCGGAGGAGCGTTACGTCCGCGCATAGCGGGGCAGCCGCTGCGCGCGGTAACGGGCAGATCGCGGTGGAAGCGCGGCAGAGCGGCGCTGCGAGCTTTCGCCAATCCCGGCCGTGCTGCACCGCGCGCGGCCGAGTGCTGCCCGCGCACGTTGCTGGGAGACGGCAAAACGCTGGAGCTGAGGTCAGAACTCGAGAAAAGGGACGGCCTGCTGCGCGCACGGACGGACGGAGCGGCGCTTCTCGCTGAAAGGACGCGGGTTGTGAGGAAAAGGAAGGGCTGTACAAGTTAAAGTCTGTTTCCAAGTTGCCCAGGTGCAGCAACTTGAGCCCGCAGCGTCTCGGCTCAGCTCGCGGCGGGCACAGCTGTGGCACCGGCTCCAGCGACCACCCGCCGAGAGCAGCTGGGCACGAGGGAACGGTTCTGGCCGGGAACGCCTTCTCCCTCCCATTTTGGCCCGAGCTCCCCCCAGGTTACGTGTTAGAAATGGTGGAGCACGTTAAGTCCTTACTTCTACCTCTGAAAACTGAGGCTGGAGCTGCAGCAGGTACCCCACCTCTGGCACACAGCAGCCACCCCTGCTTGGTGCAGCCGCAAGGCTCAGCCATTCCAAAGTTCGAGTGATAGTAAAGGTTTTTAAATCTGTTACTTTCCCAAGTAAAGGCTGCAAGAAGAGGCATGCTTACTATTTTCAAGAACAGTACTTCAAATCCACATCCAGATCAGTCACTCTGCTCCTCTTCTGGCAAATGCCACCTCACATAGGCACCAAAACAGGAGTTTTAGCAGAGGAAGGAAAAAAAAAAAAAAAACTTATTAAAATAACAGTCCAAAAAAGTCGATTTCTTTGCAAATTAATCAAGACGTAAAACCACAGCAAAATCAGCCACAGCTGTAAAGAGCCACAGCTGATACAGCAGTGATCTGACTGTAAGAAGTGGCACAGCCACAAGCAGACAAGTACTTCTTGATGGATTTTATTTTCCAATTTTTCCCGCTTATTGCATAGGGAACACACCAACTGGTGAGTTGTTCATCACACACTTGCTAAGAACCAGCAGCCTACCCAAAGTGTTCCAAGACAATGCTTACAGAACAATTTCAACTTTCAACAAGTTCTTTGATAAATATAAGCGCTGTTTAAACTGCAGTGTTTGCAAAGCTGCTCACTCCTCCTCTAATGACTATTAAGATAAAGGCTGAGGTTGTTAAACTGGAGTTTCCTGATTTATGAGCCTTTCTAAAAAGTGCTGCAGATGCATTTAAGAATTGATGCAAGATAGTCAAACCTAGCTCAGAAAGGGAACTGTAAATTATTTCTATTTTTCCTATAAGAATCTAATTTGTTTCATCTAATTATATTATTTTACTCAATTATATTTACTAGACCATCTTTCTAATATTGGTAAAAATCTGGAGAAAAAAAAAAAAAAGTAGGAAAGAGTATCATCCCACTCCCAAAGAAGTTTACCTATCCCTCTAGAAGATACTCCACGCATTCTGTACCTGCGAGGTCAGGACAGTAGAGGAAGTGACACCTATGGCTCACGTTGCTATAGCTACAGGATGCCCAGATTCCCAGCTTCAGTGAATGAATCAATAGAAACCACAGCTTTGCTCTCCTCTTTTATTCAACAAAGGCAAACTGGAAGATGGGTTGCCAAGCAACATCATGCTAAAGACTGCAGCTCTTTGAAACGAGCATTACTGATTGCCTTCCATCCTCCCTCTCATCCTCCAGGAGTCTCTTCCATTCAAAGCCATTTATTAAGGGACTGAGAAAAAACTACCAGGACATGAATTTTAAAATAACTGTAGAAGCAGAAGGAAAGCTGGAATTAATGCTTAAAGTAAAAGAGAAATGAAACAATATAATTCCTTCTGCACTGAAAAAAGAAAAAAAATAGTAAGGACAGAAAAACTTAGACTGACTTATACAAACCAAAAGGGGATGGAAAGACCATTTCCTTCTAAGAATATTTTATTAAAGCAAAATTTCCTCTGAAGAATTGCTTATAGCCACTGTTTCTTTAATTGAAATCTAATGACGTTCCTCAACTGCACACTTATTTTAAAGACTTAACTCATAAAAAAAGCACATTAGTGGCTAGATGTCTTCAGGAAGCTTCAGGATTCCAGAAATCTTTTCTTTCATGCTAAAATCAACAAAAATCTCCACTATAAATTAGCAAGGAAAAGCTTCAAGTCTAACACCAATTTCTATCAACTAATTTCTGTACCATATCATCTTATGAACCATCTTACGAGATGGTAATATGCATCTTATGCTCATAATAAAATAAAGTAGGTGTACATATGGATTAGTTTTACCTATTTTGAAAATGACTTGCATGTACCAGCATAAATGCATTTATTCTTATTCTAAACTTGAGCTAAGTTATTCCAGTGCTAGGGAGCAAGCAGAAAGACATCAATCTCATACAGAAAAGGCTGTGGATAAAGAAATGCTCTCTTATTAGAAACTGCCTTGAAAAGCCCTATGTACTTGATCTTTACCAGTGGGGAGAAAAAAAAATAAAAAATCCAGCAGCTTAAGGATTCATAATCTGATCCCCAAAGACCAGCTCCCTTGTAACTCCTCCCTGCCTCTGCATTCTTCAAATCCTTCCAAGTCCCTCATCCTACTCCCATACTATCAGTTTCCCCCAGCCACTTAAGTTTTTTTATTCCTCTCTCTATTTTGCTCAACACAAAAAGGATAAGACTACACTGTAAGTTTCAAGGTTATGTGTGGAAGAAGCAGCCACTTACTCAAGTCTTTTGTCAACTCTCTTTCATACCAAAATTGTAGAAGTATTATACACCTGTTACCTGTTAGTTTCCATTAATTTTATTTTGGCTGACCAAAAGCTCAGAACTTCCTTGAATGCAGGATCTAGAAACCCCCAGTAGGTAGCATCGCTGCATTCAGGATACATATCGATCTGTTTAGGAAACAAGGCTGTAAGTTACCCAAGACATTGCACCCAGTTACAGAAAGGAAGATTACACACAATTTCAAACAGTATTTCATGTACCTTTAATGCTGAGTTGTCAATGTTAAGTTGTTCTTTCATTCACAGCATGCTACCAATCCCTTACAGATCCACAACCATGATACATGCAAGATGCAAGACTAAACACTCCAAATTAAACATGACAAATATTCATCTCCATGAAAGCCTGTAATACACCATGAGTAGAAAAAAATATCATGTAAAAATCTGTACAACTGTTAAATATTTAACGGATATTTATATAAGAATCTTAACTTTACACATTAGTGTTTCATTAAAAATGGAAGTTTCATCAAGAATAATGCATATGACTTCTTTAATCTTTGAAAAATAGTGTATTTGCAGCATATGTAAAAATAAAAACAAATGAAATCATGAATAGGCAGATTTCTTAAATCAAGATCTAGCATCTTAACAATAAACAAAGACAATGCCTGCGCTCGTCTGGACAGGCTGTTGAGCACTATTTCAAATGAACAAAAAAAATACTGCATTATATTCCCTAAAACATACTGACAGTGCTGGGACACAGAATAGAAGAGTGCACTACCTCCTACATAGCATTTATCTGGAAAGAGACTGCTGTATTTAGTATTTGTATTTAGAATTATGTATTTAGTATTATGCATTTGTATTTAGAATTATTTTATTACTTTTCTTAAAAATACACAGTTGTACAGAATACTTGCTATGTACATTGTGGACTACACGTGTAACTTTGAAAAATAGATTGAAAATGTACCTCCAGTAAGTCAGACACTAGAATCAAAGTTGTGTGTTTATCTGAAATGCACTTGGGCAGTATTCTATAGAGATGCTCGTGGTCTTTATCTTTGTTATTTTTTATTTCTGGATATTTTTTGTACCATACATGCAAGCAGTATTTTCTGCAGAATAGCTACAATTCCTTCCAGGGCTGCAGACTTTTCCTGAAAATAATCCAGACCTCTAATTCAATGCAAATCAATCATATTCACCATACATTCGTGCTGACATTGTCACTGCAATAGTTTCTGAAGGCACCTTATACTAATAAGTCAATCAGTTTAAAAAAAAAAAAAAGTTATGTTCTTAATGATGCACGGGCCTTGTCAAGTATTTCCTTCCTGATCTTTGGATAGTTTGGATGTGCTTCAAGGACCTGTCGAAAGACAAAAAAAACAACCCTCCACTGTAGAAAGTTCTGCATCTAAAAGGAAAGAATACTTGTGTGGTTATTGCCTCATTGATGAGCTTACACATTCTAGCATTTTGAATACTGTGATAAGTTCCTTGTAAGAATGCAGAAATATCTGTAATGAAAGACTACAGAGTTGGTCAAGATCAATTTTAGACGTTGCTTTCCCTTCCCACCACCTCGTAACTGGCAAAAGTGCAAGGGTCAAAGGGCATGCAATTCCCTCCTCTTCCATTCAAGTTAATCTTTCCAGTACTCTTAAATTTCCCCCCCAAAATCAGCAAATTTAATTATTCATTCTATCATTATGTCCACTCTGGCTCTAGAATTGTAGCTCTATAATTCGACATCTAGATATATTTGCACCACACAGGCAGAAGTATTTTCTAACAGTTCTTCCAATACAAGCATTTTAGTACTGTCTTCAGCTACAGCTCCATATGGATTTACCAAGCAGCAACCACAGAAAGAGAAGGCACTGCCACTTGAACATGCTTTCACATATGCCAGCCAGCTACTTCATCTCTTATTTACCAGATGGACAGAAAGCTCAGGATAAAGCAAATTAAGTATCCTGTACACAGTTAAACTTAATAATATCAGAAAAATAACTGATACAACAAAAGAAGGATCATTACGTAAAACAAAAGTTATTACAGCAGAGAGAGCATTAAGTACAAATTGTACCTTATGACAAATAGTAATTGCATCAACATATCTCTTTCCTTTCAGGTAATTGAAAGCCAACTTGTATCCTGTAAGTAAAAAGAGGAGGGGAAAAGAAGGTGATAGCTTCAATATCTGTATTAAATAAGTAAAATATCACATTTAAGTTCAATTTGGTCACCATGTGTTTCTATGGCTAATATATTTGTTTTCTGGTTCTCCCTTATCTAAGCCTGTAAAAATTACTATTTAAGTAATTACACTTTAAGTAGCATGTGAATGTCTTTACACACTGATAGACAGCTGCACTGGAATCAAAAGGAGACATTCTAGAGAGCAAGTTTTCCTCCAGGGAACACATAATGGCTGTCCTCTTTCAATGAATGTAGCACCGTACAGAGCTTCTCATCAGAGTTTCTGATCTACAATACATCATTCTTTTACAAAGAAAATAAATGATTACATTATTAAAGGACAAAAAAAAGTCACAGATGTAGAAACGAACCCAGGAATTAAAATGCTTTTCTGTTTCACAGTGACCAGACCACTAATAAAAATCTGTCATGAGGAATAGTTAGGCCCTGCAGAACACATCAACACTGAGGTTTTGAAAGGTAAGAAGTATAGCTCAAATATATCAGCCTGGACAGAGAAGTCCCAGTCCAGGGTATACTGAGGTGCCCCTGCCCATGGCAGGGGGACTGAAACTGGATGGTCTTTAAGGTCCTTCCCAACCCAAACCACTCTGTGATTCTATAATCAACAAAACACTGATCCACAGGTCACATGGAATAAAATCACGAACCAAATCATTGCAGCCTTAAGTGTTACAGTTAGAGAAACAAAACATGGGAGTTCATAACCGTAACAGCTACAGAATTTTCTAATAAATAAATAAATAAAACAACCACCAAACCCACAAAAAACAACATTGGTTTTCCAGATGACACCACAGACCTTCTCTCCCTAAAGCCAGGGAAAAAAGAGACTACAGATTACAAGCAGCATGCTTTTCTGAGGGGCCACTAGATAGTCCAAAACTGGGAATAAAATTTATGTAAACCACCAGCCTCAGGACGTAGAGACAAGACTAAGTGTTGAGTAAGAAAGGACATTTTAACCTAAATTTTATAAAGGGTTTCCTACTTCAAATAGTCCACAAATGTAACAGCCCATCTTGGGCTTCAATTAACCATCCAAACTGCAAATTGAATACTATCAAGTTTTCAGTTAGCCATTAATTTTAAAGCAAATATTTACAGCCCTTTAAACAATTAAAAAGAAAATCTTCAAATTTGTCTGATTATCAAAACAGAGTAATGAAATTTTAAGTGATCTGCCAACACTAGATACAGAAGAGGTATAAACAATTCTCTACTACAGCCAGTAGAGGCTGTATTATTGAAATATTATTGAACACCATATTTCAAGACAGCATATTAGAGCAAACCAAAAGAGCTGTAGATCTAACCTTGCACTAAAAAGAGTAAGCTGAAATTTTCTTAGTTAACATAGAACAGCTATGTTCTGTTATGGGAGCTTTCCAAATGACTTAAGTAGATCCTTAGACAGTGTGGCTCTAAAGTAAAGAAAAACCAGCAATATTCTCACTATGGAAAGAGAAATATAGTCTTTCCAGTAAAGGGTAGAGTTATTCATTCCTACTGTAGTGCATCGTATATATACACATTATACAAACATGCCTATGGTTGGATTTGATTGGTTTCCATATCTCCACGCCATCTCATAATTTATTGCTGCATCCTTGTACGCCTGTTCCTTTTCCATTATGTATCCCATGTACTCATAAGCCTTGCAACAGGACTGCAAAATATAATTCATACAAGACTTTATTTAGGTATCAACATTTAATTGCTGAAATACTTCAAATCTCTACAACTAGAAAGCTTAAGTGATACTTGTACTAGTTTTGATGACAAGATAGTCTTAATTTAAAATCATTTACAAAGAGTCTTGCAATGACTTCATAAGTCATCCCGAGTCAAATATAGAGTTCATCACAGAGGACACTACAATTACTCCAAAAATGTTCGGTGCCTCCAGAAGCCCTGCAGATACTTCTGAAATAATAATCCTATGGAAAGCATTTCAAGTCCAGCCAGGAACTGCTGTATCTTCCACAGATAGTCTCACTTTTTCTTCACTAAATATTTCCATAGCCTTAATTTTGAAAACTTTCATACATTACAGCTTTCCATTTAAAACAAAAGGCATTCAAAAATATCCTGAAGAGAACATCAAACATTAAATATTTCATTTTCTGTAATTCCAAGTGGGAACTTAAAAGGAACCAAGAAACAAGTTCCAGAAGTACTAGATGAAAATAACAGTTGTAATTATTATCACACAAACATACGCATCAATCTAACTGCAGTAAAAATTAGTAGAAAAGATTTAATAATTTATACAAGAATTTAGTAAATGAAGCAGAAAAAATTGTGAAAATAAACACAAGTCCAAACTACCACATGGCTTTACTGCAAACAGCTCATTTTATCATGTTGACAACAGTTAAAATACTTCAGTAGAAAAATTTAAACTTTTATGAATATATGCACCCTGCTTACAAAGGCAGAGCAAGAATTAAGAGGTTTTAAATCACAGCACATGGGACAAACAGCAGAGGAATGCTCCTGGGACCAGAATAAAAATATACTTTCTCTCATTTGTGATTAAAAAAAAAAAAAAAAAAAAAAAAAAAAATCAAGAGAAGAAATTGGTAAGAAACTCCAATTTAACAAAAAGTGCTGAGAATATCATTATTATTAGTTTATTGACCAAACCTAACACTTTCAGACTGAAAGAAAACCTTATTACAAGATACTAGACTTCTGAAGTGTTCACTCAATGTGTTTACTTACATTGTACATACATATCCACAACAGTAAGTACTGATTGCTAAAAACAACCCTAAGAATAATAAATCAATAAGTAAGTAATAAATAATAAATCTCAATAATGAGTTTTCTCAATCTAATGAAATATAACAACTTGCAGGATACATGGAAAAATGTAAAACAGCACCTATTTGTATGGTACACCCCCTGCTTGCCTTCTTTACGTGCAGATTAGAGAAAAGTCAGATTTACTCTGCTGTTTTGATAAGGAGCTTCAGATTTCTAAATTGCTAACTTTTCTCCAAAAGGCATTTCAAGCCTTTTAAAAGAAAAGAAGCAATTTGGCAGGCTAGCATAGTCTAAGTTCGTTGAGCTGCTGGGGAATTTCTACAACAACGTGTAACTTGTGGCACAGCCATGCTCAGACCACCTATTTAAAGATGTGTCATATTTAGAGAAATGAGTCATATTTACTCTGACATGGTATGAATTATGCCACTTCCACTGGCTGTCCAGACAAGTGAGTAAATGTCCTTCATGGTAGAATTTTTTCTTAACTAAATTATAGCTCATTTTCTACAGAAATAAAATAGGATGTATTCAGTTTCAAGAGCCGTATCTGCAGATGTGCACAATACAAGTACACTAAGAGGTGTTGTACTACCTATTCCTTAATTTCAAACAAAGAAATAAGAAGAGTATAAGTTTGAAAAAGGGAAGCTCTCAGGCAGGTTTCAGAAATGAGACTGAATTATATACTGTACCTCCTTGTATTCACGAATCAAGGAAAAGAAACACTATCAAGCTTCTTCCTAAACCAAATCTGCAGAGTATAAGCAGTATCCTAATCTTGTATAACATATACTGTATTACAAGATGTGTTC